TAATCTACATCATTGAAGGTATACCATATCAATGAAATCACAGGTCTATTGATGAACAGGTTGACATAAAATAAATTCAAGTCACTTTTTTCTTTATTTAACTGTTCCAGTAAGTCCAATTTCAGTATTTTATTTCAGTATTATGCAGAAATTCATAATAGCTTTTCATACTTATTATAGCACTATAATAAACATGTTGTCTTTTTTCAGTCATGTCTGACCCCATTTAAGGTTTTTTTGGCAGAGATATTGGAGTGGTTTGCCATTTCTTTCTCCAGCTCATTTTACAGTTGAGAAAAATGAGGCAAACAGGGTTAAGTGACTTGCCCAGGGTCATATAGCTACTACATGTCTGAGGCTGGATTTGAACTCATGAAGATAAGTCTTCCTGATTCCAAGCCTAGCTGCTCCATAATAAAAACAGTGTATAATTTATATCACACTCTTGTCAAAACATTGGTGTGAGGGGGAAAATGGTATTATCCCTTTAGTTATAAATGAAGAAAGGGAGTCTAGGAAAAGTGAAGTAACTTGCCCAGTTATAATTTTTTTTTTTGGTCAGAATTGGTTTACCCCTGATTTTCTGACAAGTCTGGTACTTTTTAAACTATGCCACACTGTCTCTTTGATCGACGACATAAATTTTAAGATGTTATATAAAAAAAAGCACTTCCCAAACCACAGAAAAATGGTTGAATAAATTGCAATTAAGGTAGTCTGGAAAGAAATTGAAGAAATCATGCAAAAATAAATAAAGAACCAGAAAAACAGTATATAACTATAGCCATGTAGAAGAAAAAGTAAATGGGAGTGAATAGACAAAGAAAGTTGATAAAGATTCAAGGGAGTTGCTAATGAGCATTGAGTTGCTATGAGCATTTTATGTGCAGCAAATTTACTTCATTGTAAATAGTTGCAAAGCAGGGTTAATTTATTTTGATTTTAAATGTTCATAATCATTTTTTTAAAATAAAGAGCACAGAGGAAAGAATGGAACTTGCTTTTTCTCATAATGGGGAATTGTGAGTAGAGTATACAGACGTGGAGGAAGGAGTGGGATGAGTAGGCATCATGTGAACTTCCCTCATCTGAAATGGGCAAATTAGGGTTGAACATACATAGTTTGGTCTGTAGAAAAAATGTCAAATTCTTTTTTTTTTTTGGCTAGGCAATGGGGTTAAGTGACTTGCCCAGGGTCGCACAGCTAGTAAGTGTTATGTGTCTGAGGTCACATTTGAACTCAGGTCCTCCTGAATCCAGGGCCGGTGCTCTATCCACTGTGCCACCTAGCTCCCCAAAAAATACCAACTTCAAAGAGAAACAAGCTGGGATAGGCCAGGAGCAGGGAGAGGGAGGTGTTGAGTAGAGTAGGGTAGAGTAAAGTTGAAAGAGAGGATAATAATGGAGAGGGAATAGTCTCAAGTAAAACAAACTTCCTGATCCTGAATTGACAATTAAATGGGAGGGGAAAAAAGTAAAGGGCTGAGATCTCAGGAGTTACCTTCGCTTCTTAGAGAACCAGCAAATGGTTGAACAAAGTGTTTATGTGAATATAATGGGTTATTAATATACTGTAAAAAACGGTCAAAGAGATGATTTCAGAGAATCCTTAGTAGTGTAAACTGATGCAGGGTGAAGTGAGCAGAACAATCAATACAAGGACAGCAACATTGTAAAGATAAACAACTTTGAAAGACTTAAGAGCTGTCATAGATGCAATGGTATACATTGATGCAATGTCTCCAGAGGTTCTATAATAATGTCGTCTTCTTTTTCTTCTTTTTCTCTTTGTTCCCCTCTTCCTCCTCCTTCTCCTTCTTCCCAAAACAAAGGTATTCTTAGCCTACTGCAGCTACTGGGTAATCCTTCACATCCCATCCCGTCTGCCACACGCAGTCATCCCTACTTCTTCTGTTTCTTTAGAACAAAATTCCTTTCTCTTGTCTCCACTACCCTAACTATGTTCGTCTTTCTTTGTTAAAACGTGAGCTCCTTGAAGGGAGGGACTGCCTTTAAAAAATGTATTTCCAGAACTTAACATAATGCTTGGACCATATTAAGAGTTTTAACATTTTTTCTTTTTTCCTTCATTGACTCAAATGTACAGGTCATATACAGCGGCTAGAATTCTTTTAATATGTGGGTTTGAGAAGGTTGTTGAGTTAAAGTTATGTTTGAAATCCATTAAAATTAAAGGCGCTATGTTGGTCTCTTTGGAGGTTGTGGAATCTTGATCCTTTCTTTGGATATCATTAGACACCATAGGTCTTAAAATACAAATTTCATGGTAGAAGAATTTTGCCATTTTGCTAACACTGGCATACTTCCCAGAGCACCATTCCAGTCAGCATTCATTATAGGCTAAACACTGGATTAATTCCATTGTAATTATTTATTTCATTCATATTAATTTTATTATAAATCTAACAGTTGAAGAGGTTTCTTGGGTATTTAAGTTGACCTTGATTTTAGGTCTACTTTCATGCTATATATTTTGTTTATAATTTTTCTTCTCTTACATCTACGAATGACTCCAATCCTCCAGATTTATATTGGGGGGGGAAAACCCTCAAACCTGTAAAAACAAACACACCACTAGCACATGGAACAATCCTTTTAAATGTCATTTGTTCAGTTGTTTCAGTTGTGTCTGATTCTTTGTGACCCCTTTGGGGATTCGGCGAAGATACTGAAGTGGTTTGCCATTTCCTTCTCCAGCTTATTTTACAGATGAGGAAACTGAGGCAAACAGGGACTTACCCAGGGTCACAAATAGAGTTTCCTGAGGCCAAAGTTGAACTCAGGAAGATGAGTCTTCCTGACTCTAGGCTTAGCACTCTGTCAATTTCGATAACTAAAAACAATGTCAAAAGTAACAGATCCAGGCAGCTATTAGGTTTTTTGGACAACAAATCCTTATGTAATTTAACATTGAAATGCTTTCCATTTACATGCAAGTATGTTCCCTGTTGTTCTGTGTGTCACATCTCTTTTCACATTTTTCTAGATAAAATTTTATGACATCCTAAAATAATCTTTTCTTTCATAAATCTTTTGTCACATTGTCATTAGACAGCATATCATACAAGATTTTTCTTATATGATGTTATAAATATTATTTGAAATTCATATAATGAATGAATGCTGTATGCTAAACATTTGAGAATACAAATGAAAAAGATTGCCTGCTCTCAAGGAGCTCCCAGTCTAATTGGAAAAGGTAATGCATGTAGGAGAGTTCACCTCCTGGTGCATGGAAAGGACTGAAGCTCCAAGAAATCAAGGCATACTGGACATCAGTTCTGTCTAGGTCCTTTCTGGTGCCCCAAAAGGGTTTGCTTTGTGTTAGTCTGTACTTGTTGGGGAAGAGGGAAGTTAACAAAATCGTATCCATTACTTTGTATTTACTCTGTAACCACAGTGCCTGGCATATAGGCACTTAATAAATGTTTATTTAATTGAATTTAATGTACCCATGTGTGTATAATACCCGAACCTAAGGGTTGATACAGGGTATTCCCAGGTGAGGAAACTCCTTTTACCAATACAAGTCAGCACTTTCTCTGCTGCCTAGAGCACAGAGGTGGTTAGGTTATTTGTCTCCTGGTCTTTCTTGCATAAGTATTGTTCTCTATCCATTAGGTCAGACCACTTCTTCAAGTTGTTAGGCATATTTATACAGCTTCCTACTTAACTTCCCACCCCCTGGATTGTTTTCCCCTTAGAGAATAGAAGAGCAGATTCGGAATAAATACTTGCGGAACTCTGCTCAAATTGCCTAGGTCCCCGCTCCCAGGGAGTTAAATACATTAGCATATTCGGGTGACTGGCGGATGCAGAGGACTGTAGCTAGGAAGCCCTGGATTCAAGTCCCACCTTGGGCATTTACGAACCAGGCAAACCATTTAACCTTCCAAGATTCAGTTTCCTCACGTTTAAAAGGGGTATAACAATAGCACCGATCTCATAGGGTCGTTGTGAGGATCAAATCAAATAACATAGCTCAAGTGCTTTTGCAAACCCTAAATTGCGATATAAATGCTATTCTTCTTGTGATTACAGGGAAATAAGATAGTGCCTTCTTACTCTACTCAAGCCACTTAACCTCTTGGCCTCAATTCATAAGGTGAGAAAATAGGGAAAAAATACCTCGTGTTTTAGATCCCATGAAATTTTAGAGCATTAGAGTTTAATTATAATTTATTCCGTATCTATCCATTCACCAGCGTATCCCAGGTGGTTTTGTGCATCACATCCATTTTTCACATCGTTCTTAACAAATTTTTTATGACAATCTAATCTTTTCTTGCATAAATACAAGAAATTTATTGCACGTTCCCAACACCCGCCCCCCCACTTGTCTAGCTTTGTATTCCCAGTATCGCCAGGCACATAGTAGGTGCTTAATAAATGCTTGAGTGACAGGAGTGGGGTTGGGTGGGTGGAAGCCACCAATCCCAAAGCAAGTCATTTTTGCCTAATGTATCGAGCTCCGATTTACCCCTGAGCCTGGGGGGGAGGGGGGCTCCGACCCGTCACACTTGGAGGGGCCAGACTCAGGCCTCCCCGCCAGCGTCTCCACGCTGCACTTCCATAAGGCCGAACCCCACACCCCGACAGTACGAGTGAGGGAGCGCGGCGGGGGTCCTACGGCAGCCGATCCTAGATACCACAGACCCTCTGCTGAAGCTCCGGCGTATGCCCTCACAGTCCCCCTTCTCGCGAGAGTTCGCCCGAGGGCGCGGGGTAACCTCGCGAGGTCCCAGCCCCGGCAGGAAGATCCGGGAGGGGGTGTTGGGAGGGGTGTTCCCTCACCGGCTCCTCTGCCCCGGCCTCCGAGGACCCTGCCCCCTCTCCTCGGGCGCAAGGGAACTTCCGGACTCCAGACCGGAACTGGAAAGTTCTCGGAGAGTGGAAAGGCGGGGCTAAAGAAATCCAAAAAAAGAGCGCGGCCCAAGCGCCGGAGAACGACTGTCGCCGTCGCCGTCGCCGTCCCCGTCACCTCCCCGGTTCACGGCCACTGACCCCGCGCCTCCTCCCCGGTCTCCGCGGAGGTCCAGGCCTCGGGCGCGATGGACATCACGGCCAACCTGAAGTCTTTGCTGCTGGCCATCAGCCAGTACAAGGCGGTAAAATCTGAGGCGAACACGACCCAGCTCTTGCGGCATTTGGAGGTGAGAGGCCGGCGGGGACGGGCCCGACCGACCCCCGGAGCCCGGACCCCCCGACCGGCTCACCCCGGCCCGGCTCCGAGGCGCCCCCGGAGAAATCCCAGGGCCAGGGGCGGAGAAGGGGGGCGAAAAGCACCCTCACTTTTGCATCCCCATCTCTCTCGGTGGAGCCCTCAGTTTCCCTATTTGCAAAATGGAGAGAGTGAGAATTTGCACCACCTGCCTCCCAGAGGGGTTGTCAGGAAAGCCTTTTGTTCTCGGGAAAGTGCCTTTTTTATTTTTTAAAATCTTTTGCAGGATTTCACATGCATAATTGATATTTTGTTTGCTTTCTCGATGGGTGTGGGAGGCACTGGGGGGGAGGAAGAGAATTCAGAACTCAAAGTAAAAAGAAAAAATGATAAAAAATAATAAATTGTTTTTAAAAGTGTTTTGTTAAATGCCGGATTGTTCTGTCACAGTTACTTTTTATTACGGTTTTTAAAAAAAGGAGCCAATGTCATTAACATGAGGTGAAGAACTCTTGATCTAGTGGTGTCCCCCCCCCCCCGTTTTATAGATGAGGAAACTGAGGCCCAGTGAGGTGAATGAATTTGGGGAAAAATCACAAAAGTAATAACTAGATTTGTAAAATCTATCTACAACCCTTTAGTTGTTAGAGCTCTTGTTCAAGTTGTCCTGTACATAGCTCCCCATGTTTTATTCCCAACCCCATAGTGAGAATGATATATAATATAATGCTTTATGGTTTGCAGAGCACTTTGTTTACATGAGAGGCAGGTGCTTTTACCTCCGTTTCACGGGGTGGGAGGGAGTGTATGGGGGGTTATGACGTTTAGAGAGGTTGTGACTTGTTCAGTGTTATACACCTTTAAAGTACTTGATGGAGAATTTGAATTCAAGTCTTCCTGACCTCAAATCCAGCACTGTATCCATGAGGCCAGGCTGCTTTACAAGAATATAAACTTACTGAGAATAGATATTGTTTTTATTTTTAAAAATTTTCTCTTTTAGCTTCAGTACACAGCAAGGCAGCACATACTTGTTAGGATGGATGGATGTGTATTCTGAAACCTGCCTATAACGTCCCTCTATGAAATAGTCAAGTGGTCAAGATCTCCAAGGTGCAAAACTTAATGCTATTCAAGGTAGCCCAGTTAGGTCTTGGGCAGCACTAATTGTCTCTTTCAAGATTTACGCTGATGGAAAACTTCTCCGTTAGATAGCCCGTTACATTTTTTTGGATAGCTCCAATTGTTAGGTTGAGGATAAGGACTAGACGTGTTACTTCACTAGAATAGGGAACTTTCTCTTGCTATTTAGAGACTTGGAAAATTACCTAGAGTACTGAATGTTTAAGTGACTTACCCCCCAGGTCTTCCTGACTGGAGGGCTGCACTCAATTTTTTTGTTTCTGGTCACCTCTTCCCATTTTTAGCCGTGTTGATATTGCATCCTTTTAAACTTTTAGCTATTGTTTCTTGTTCTGCTCTCTGGAGCCAAGCAGAATAAGTTTAATCCCTCTTTCAAATGACAGTTTTTTCAAATATTTGAAGACTAGTCCTAATTGAATGTTGTAGTTAAATAGTTGTTATTGCCAGAGTTGCTGTGTCCTGGAATGCTTTATTAGCTTTTCCTTTCTTTTTTCCTGCAAATCTCAAAGGCCCACTTACTTCCTCATTGACTATCCCCCTAGCCTGCAGTTACTTTGAAATCTTGAAGAAATACTGTATTGCTTTCTTTACAGTGTTTGCAATTGTTTTTGTTTCTGTTTATTCTTATCTTCTTTTCCTACCAGATTGAATGATTCTGGAAGGACTAGTCTTATCCTTTGATTCAGGTGCTCAACAAATAACTGCTGAAGTGATGTTGTGTGTATTAAGTGATGAAGGGGATATCCCCGATGCAAAATAATAATTGACATTTGTATAGTTCCTTACAATCTGCAAATCCCTTCAGTTATATTAGTTTACTTGAACCTCTCACCAGCCCTTCGAGGTAGGTATTTGTAGGTGATGAAATGAGACTGAGAAGTTAAATATATTTTGTCTACTAGAGTTAGAAAGCTAGTAGTTTTTGAAAGTACAATTCAAGCTCTTCCACATCACCTCCCTTAAAAGGGGATACAAATGAGTCTCAGTTTCTTCATCTGTGAAATGAGCTTGGGATAGATGATCAGGGTTCCATTCAGTTTGTGATTCTAAGACATGGTAAAATATAGATCTAAATTTTATATATAAATTTTTATTGGGCAGCTAGATGGCACAATGGATAGAATGCCAGGCCTGAGTCAGGAAAATTCATCTTCCTGAGTTCAAAAATAGCCTCAGACATTAGCTGTGTGATCCTGGGTAAGTCACTTAACCCTGGTTGCCTCAATTTCCTTATCTGTCAAATGAACTAGAGTAGGAAATGGCAAACCATTCCATTATGTTTGTCAACAAAACCCACAAATGGGGCCATGAGTAGTAGGATATGACTGAAATGACTCAACAACAATAAATTTTATACAATAGTAATAGCACCTAACATTTATATAGCACTTACTGTGTGCCAGGCATTGTGCTATGTGCTTTACAATTATTGTCTCATTTGATCTTCACAAATACACCTGGGACGTAAGTGTTATTATTATCCCCATTTTATAGATGATGAGGCAAACAGATTAAGTGACTTGCTCAGCGTCACACAGCTAGAAAGTATTTGACAATGGATTTGAACTCAGTTCTGCCTGACTCTGGGCCCAATGGTTTATCCACTGTGCCATTTAGTTGCCTCTAATTTGATATGTGCTTAGGAAATACAAACTTATTTTTGTATTAATCTAAATAAAATATAATTGTGAAGGTAAATCTATGCTGACCATTGAGAAAACTTGTTTTTAATTAGTGTTAACCCAATTTGACATTATATACAATATTCCACATCTTTTTTCCCTTCACTTTTGTAAAGAAGGGAAGAAGGTGTGTTTAACTCATCTCTTCTTTGGAGCCAAGTTTGGTCATTATAATTGCACGGTAGTCATTTTTGTGGTTTTGATTTTATAGTTTTTCCCATTTAGATTGTAATAGTCATGTTATATGTTCTTTTTCTTTTTTTTTTCTTGGTTCTGTATCACTTGGCATATTTTCCTATGCTTCTATGTATTAAAATTTATTGTTTTAATAGCACAGTAACATTCCTTTACGTTTGTGTACCACAATTTTAGCTATCTTTCAGTTAATAGGCACCTACTTTGTTTCCAGTCTTTTGCTACCGCAATAAATGTTGCTATAAATATTTCTTTATTTGACATCTTTGGAGTATATACCTGGTAATAGGATCTCTCAGTCAAAGGATATAGACATTTAAGTCATTTTCCTAACATAATTCCAGATTTTTTTCTAGGATGGTAGAACATAGCTCAGCCAATAGTATTTTGGTCTTCCTGTCTTTATACACTTCCTCCAGTGGTGATTCATCACATCTTTTGTTGTCTTTCTCAGTTTGGAGTGTATGAGGCAAAACATGAGTTGTTTAATTTGCATTTCTCTTATTTTTAGTGATATGGAACAGTCTTTTGTGTTAAGAGTTTACAGTTCTTTTGAGAACTGTTTGTTCCTGTCCTTTGAACAGTTATTAAAAATTCATTGCTTTACAATTGATTGTTTTCCAGGTCATTTCTGGACAGAAACTTACTCGATGGTTTACATCAAACCAGATATTGCCAAGTGAATGTCTGAGCTGCCTTATAGAGCTCCTTGAAGACCCAAATTTAAGCACTTCACTAACTTTAAGCATCATCAATCTGTTATCTCATCTAGGTAAGGTATCCATTTCACTTTGTTCCAGATGGAAGGGAGGTTGAAGTAAAAGAAAACAAAGCATTGCTGGTTTAAATGTTTATAGTATAGTATCCATAGGCCCAGAATAGTAATAGGGCCAGAATAGTAATTGGCCCAGAAAATGATACTGACATGTAGGCATCAGACTTAGAAATATGTTGAAAAAACATGAAAATGCCTTAAAATAGTTGTAATTTGCAATCTTAAGGTACAAATAATTCTGATTTAGGGATGATTACTTCTAATTCACACTTGATACAATATATTAAAGTAACTATTTAAAGAAGAAAATTATAATAGGCCACTCACTGTCATTGGTTCATTTTCATGCCTTTCTTAGAGGCAGCTAGGAAGGAGTGGGTTCAAATCAAGATACTTCCTAGCTGTGTGACCCTGAACAAGTCACTTCACCTCTGTCTGCTTCAGTTACTTCATCTATAAAATGGGGATAATAATAGTATCCACCTCCTAGATTCATCTAAGGATGAAATGAGAATATTTGTAAAGTGCTTTGTAAACCTTAAAGCACCATATAAATACTAGTTGTGGTGGCGGCGGTTGTTTTAGTAGTATCGGAATTAGCCGAAAAGTTGCAGATAATATGACAGATATCAATCACGCAGCGTTAAGTCTAATAGATTTTACCTGACTTTTCTTTTAGATTTCTCAGGGATTACATATATATAGAGCTGAAAGGAACCTTATAGGCCTTTTCCTTCAACCCTTCACTTTAAACATAAGGAAACAGGCTCAGGGATGTTCAGGGATTTGTTGAGCCCTGACTCTGGCAGCTCTCACACGGTGTCTTGTTGCCCCAACAAAGTGACCTGGCCTACAAAAGGGAAGGAGAGTATAGTTTGCTGAATGACCCATATTTTCACCTGACTGAATAAACTGCTGCTTTTAATCCAATTTAAATTTTGCTTGTCTTTGCCAGTGATAGTTTTTTTTTTTAAATAAAATAGGACAGATGTATTCATACTAAGGTTTAGAGGGGCTGTGATCTGAACTGATGAAAGAAATGCCCACACCAGTGAAATTACAGATTCTTGAAATGTAGTTAGGTAAATCTTGCGGTAATAAAGGTCATAAGTTCAACATTTTAAACATACTTATTTAATATATGTATACTATTTTATTTTACATTACAGCTCTAGACAGTGATAGCAGAGAGTGGCTCCAGAACACTTATAATCTGAATAGTGTCCTGGCAGGAGTGGTATATCGAAGCAGTACTGTCCATAATGACTCAGTATCATTGCAGGTACAAAATGATATTTCTACCTACTTTCTTTTCCTATCCTTACTCATCAAGTGATAAGAATTGAATTAAAACAATAAATAATCTGTCATCATCAATTAATTTAAAGTATACCCACTAAGTTCTGGAGAATTTGCTGATTAGACATAGTCCTTGCCCTTGAGAAATTTAAAATTTGGTTGAACATGTTACTGTCATATAAAAGCTTTCAGTAGATAGTAGTTTATCTTTATCCCTATATAATTTAGAACACTGCTAAATAAAAGTAATTATGAACAAATTAATTTTGAGCTTTGATGGCCCTTTTCTGAGAAGGTGTCTAGTTTTAATGTGCTCTGAGAAATTTCAATCGGAATAGTAGTTTTAAATAGCTCATGTTTATATAACACTTTACAATTTACACAGTAGAATACTTTCTTCCTAATAATGTGAGATAAGTATTGTAAATGTTATCCACATTTTTACAAGTAAAATTGAGGCTCACAGAGGTTATGACTTGTTTATTGACATAGCTAATAATGGGTAAAGTCAGGACCCAGGCATAGGTCTTCTAATTCCAGTCCACTAATCTTTCCACTCTACAACTCTGTTTTAAAGAGTATTATTTGGCAAATTAGAAAATAAAAAGATATCTTTGAGAGGGACAGTCATGAAATCAAGAGGGATAGAGACAAGATGTCCTAATTGGAGTAGAATATATAGGTAAGGGTAAATTAGGAGATGGGCAATTAGGTGGGGTCATTTTCAATCTCAATAATTACTCACAATGACTTATTGCATTTTATAAAACCCAAAAACCTTTCCTTACCAAATAGAGTAATTGTTATTTCATTGTTTCAGGGCAGAGATGGGGAACCTGTGGCCTTCTAGGTCCTTGGGTGCGGCCTTTTGACTGAGTCCAAGTTTTATAGAACAAATTCGTTTATTAAGAGGATTTGTTCTGTGAAGTTTGGATTCTGTCAGAGGGCTGTACTTGAGGATCTGGAGGGCCACAGGTTCCCCACCTCTGATATAGGGAATTCCTGTATGAGGAAACTGCCACTACCAATGCAGATTGGCATCTTCTCTGCAATGAAGTCTTTTTTTTTCTTTCTAATTTTTTTTGAAGAGATGACCTGGTCTCCCCATCTTGCCCAGCTGGAAGTGCAGGGGCTATTCACAGTTTCACTACCAATCAATATGGCAGCTTTAACCTATTCCAACCAGAGCAGGTTTGACCCTCCTAAATCAACCTGGTAGCCAACCGCTTCCAGGGGAATCATATATCAGTGCTGAATTTAGTGTAGACACCTGATCACATGGTCCTGTTATAGCTCACAACACCTGAACTTATTATGAGATCTGCCCCCTTCAGCCTCAGCTGGGATTATCGTCTGCCATACCTAGCTTCAGTTTAGTCTTAAAGAGTGACCTTAAGCAGATTCAGCCTGAGCCAGATTGTAATGTAATTGGGAAATATTTGACAAGATAAATTAAAAATACAATAGAGTATAGATAATGTCAGTATGTGATTTTTCTAAGTTAATATGTGGCCTGCAGGGAACAGTATGTATTGTTTATTGGCCTCATTTTTATTTGGCTTTGATACCACATACCTAGAGCACTAAGAAGGTAACTGACTTGCCACAGCCAGGATGTATCAGAGGCAGGACTTGAACCCAGGATGGAGAATTTTTTAATCTTAACCTTAGTCTCTCTCTATCAATGTAGTGTACTCCTGTGAGCAGTGAGTATATTTTTATATTTATACGTTAATAACCATTTTATTACCTGCAGTGCCTTCAACTCCTGCAGAAGCTGACCTACAGTGTCAAAGTTTTCCATTCTGGTGCCAATTTTGATGAGCTAATTACATTCCTGATAGGTCATATGTAAGTTATATATATGTATATTAATGTACTATATTCATCCTTACTGCTTAAGAAAAATCTACAGGCCATCTTTGAAACCAGAAACGTGTTATGTTAAGTAGTTTTTTAGGCAAGTCATCTTTTTCTAGGGCCAGTTTGTGGTATAGGTTGGGATTTTCAGTTCTTGATGGGTATACAAATAAGCTCTAGAAGATCTTACCAAGGTGGAAGTAGTTGGTTACAGATTTGGAAATGAACTGTGTGTCCATTGTCTCAAGAACTAGGCTACTGAAATTGGAGGTGCCAGCAGCCCTCCAGATTGTGTAAGGATTGTGATCCGCCTTGGTGGAGCAAGTATTCCCATCTTTGAGCATTGAAGTAAATAATATATTTATTTTTGTGAAAAAAGAAATCTGAAAGTTGCTCTTTCCTTTTTCAATTTAAATCAATTTTAAAAAATTAAAAATTAAATTAATTAAATTAAATTAATTTAAACTAAAAAAATTAAATCAATTTAAAAATCTTAGTATTATAAAGTATCTCTCCATGTTAATAAATTGAATTTGAGAAGTCCTATGGATTCAATTAGTATTATTACAGAATGGTTAAAGAAAAATATGAAGTCATAATAAAAATTTCTACATGGATTTAGTCTAACAATAAATAAACGAATAAAGCATTTATTAAGCACTTATTATGTGCAAGCTTTATGTTTAAGTTTGGGGATACAGATAGAAAAGTAAGACAATCCCAGCTCTTGAGGAGTTCACATTCTAATGGGGAAAGATTTCAGATGCAAGTCATTTGGAAAGGTCTCATGATCCCTAGGGTACAGCATGAAGCAGATCCTCATGCCTTTTTTTTTAAATGTCATTTCCTCTGATAAAATCATATCAGTTTTCAGTATATAAGGAAACGTACAGTTCATAGCATCATTGACTTTTATTTGCAATTTTTCCGTGTTGAGACTGAATAATTTGGTTTCACACATATTGAATTATTACTGTAGTTGAGTTTGACTTGTAAGAGTAAAAAGAAAATGTTCACATTAACTGCTGTAGTTACTAGAAATCAAATGTTTAAAATGTGACTTACCATGTATCGTTTTAAGTAGATTGGAATTCAACGTAATGCAATCTTTTTTCCTTTTTTTTTGTTCTCCTGAAACAAAATAGTCAGTCTCCTGAAGATGAATTAACAATGTCTTGTCTAGGACTCTTAGCAAATCTTTGTCGGCACAACCTAGCTGTTCAAACCCATGTAAAGTCTTTGGTAAGAATTCTTTTTAATGTGTGTGTCTCTGTGTGTGTGTGTGTTTAATCTTCCAGCTTTTGTGTTGGGTTCTTTGTCTCAAGGAAATCTTATTACTTTGTTATTTATTTTGAAGACTTGTGTGTCTATATCCATTCTATCTGATGCTTCAGAGCTTATAAAAGAATTGACAATTAAATGATGCAGTCTAGAGTATTCTCATTTTTGAGTTATACTTTGAAAAACCCTAGCCACAAGTATTATGTTGGAATCCCAAAGAAAACATGGTTTAAGAGTATATATGAGAAATGCTGGATTATTTTGTTAAAGGTTTAAAATCATAGTGGGTTCCTTCTAGGATATCAACCCATTATTTTATGGCTCTCAAAGAATTAATTTATTAGTATTTATTTAAAATCATGAAACCTTGAATTGAAAAGACCTTAGAAATTATCTAAGCCTATCCTTATAAGGATAAATAATTTGAGACCCAGAGAGTTTTAAGTTACATGCCTCAAGTCATAGGCAGAGCCAGGGCTGGAGCCCAAATTTTCTTGGTCTGGTTCATAATTCATCAAACATTTATTAAGTACTTGCTCTGTGCTAGAAATAAGAATACAAAACTGAAATATGTCCTTCCCTTAAAGAGCATGCATTCTGTTGTGTGTATGGGGGATGGGGTGGGAAAGAGGTAAATACAAAATATTTCTTAGGGGGAAGGCACTGGCCGTGGGGTTGGTGTATCAAGATAGGACTTATAAGTCCTATCTTGTAGGTAAGTGGCACTTGAGCTGAATCTAGGAATTTTAAGAAGCAAGTGCATGAGGGACAGCTTTTACAAAAGCATGAAGATTAGAGATGGAATGTCCAGTATGAGAAGTAAGTAGACTTGTTTGGTTGGAATCATAATATGTGAAAGGAAGTAATGTGATCATAGAGTTTAGTGAAGTTACTTCACACAAGTAATAAGTATCAGACCTGGCATTAAAACCCAGGTCTTTTCACTTCAAGTCATGACATTGATACATAAATCTAGCTCTCATTTGAGTATCTAGTACCCCTAAGCTTTTATTAGATTTAACTAGATCATCTTGAAACAAAATTGGCTAGTTTCCCTTCCTCATCCCTAGCAATATTTGTGTGGACACAAAAGTAAATCTGTGGTCATTAGAAAGAAAGGGGGAAAAGGAAAGGATATAAGTAACCCATTATTTAGATAATTAATTTCATCAGGTTGACTAGGCATTTCTTTTAATATAGCAATAGCAAATTTTTTTTTTACAGGGAAATGAAAAAATTTATTTAAGTAATCACAGTTTTTAGTAACTGGATCATGTCACACTAAATTTCAGAAGGAATAAACCATATTATTCATCAAAAATACTTCCTACCTCAAAGACCCAAACCACAGGGCTTAGAAAATGACATTGCTACAAAGTTATAAAGGACACTGTCCATCGTTTCGAGCGTTTACAATTGAACAGAGTGATAGAGTGTTTGTACAGTTATCTGTTACACAAAGCACAATGTTAGCTATACTATATGAATAATAACATTAATTTGAGTGCCAAGTGAAAGGGATTATTTCTGACTAGAATTATTAAGAAAGGGGTTAAGGAAGAGCTGGTATCTGAGCTGATGCTTTGAAGATAGGTCAGTTTTTTGATAACTAAAGACAGGGGCGATGAGCATTTCAGGTGAATTTAGTTTAATATCAAGTCTTTACAAGTACTTGGGATATAATGACAAAAACTAAATAGTCCTTTTCTCAAGAAGCTTATATTCTGATGAGTGTATATATTATGTAAGCATACATAAATGAGTATTATAGAACATGAGGAATAATGGGAGCCACCAACGAGAGATCTTGCCCAAGGAATATTTGAGAAGCAGGAGAATGCTTTCATTTGTTAGGAGTGGGGCGGTGGGAGGTGATCAAGGAAGTCTATGCAGAGGCAGTGGTACCGGAGTGGAATCTTAAAAAGAATTTTTTGTGGGGGGTAGGCATTGGGGTTAAGTGACTTGCCTAGGGTCACACAGCTAGTGTTATATGTCTGAGGCTGGATTTGAACTCAGGTCCTTCTAAATCTAGGGCCGGTGCTCTATCCTTTGCGCCACCTAGCTGCCCCAAAAGAATATATTCTTAAAAGCAAACATGTAGAAGGAGGGCATTCTAGGCCTCTGTAGAGGCATGGAGGAGGGGAATAGAATTCCAGGTTCAGAGAACAGCCAGTAGTGCAGTTTGGCTGGAAGATAGAACTCATAAAGGTTAGTAAAGTGAAACTATGCTGGAAATATAAGTTGGATTCAAATTTGAAGGACCTAAAATACTAGGTTAAGGAATTTTTATTTTAAAGGCAGTAGGAAACTACTGAGGGTAATCAAGCAGAGGAGTGACATAGATTTGTTCCTTAGGAAGGTTATTTTGACCGCTTCAAGAAAGATCTTTTAGAGAGGTTATCAGAAGATCGATTAGGAGGCTACTGCATTATTCCATATAGTAGATGATAAGGCCCTCAATTATGGTGATGACCAGGTGAATGGAGAGAAAGGAATCTGGTACTGGTTTAAAACTAAATGCAGAAGTGGGGAATCTGCAGTCTTGAGGCTACATGTGGCCCTCTAGGTCCTCAAGTGTGACACTTTGCCTGAATCCAAACTTCACAGAACAAATTCCCTTAATAAAGGATTTGTTCTGTGAAATTTGGACTCAGTCAAAAGACTGCATCCAAGGACCTAGAAGTGGCCTCGAGGCCGTAGGTTCCCCACGCCTGCTAGAGTGATCAGTGGAACAGACGAGGTACACAACATACAGAAGCAAACAAACCTAATAGCTTAGTTTTTGATAAAAACAGATCCCCTACCAGAATAAGGACTCATTTGGTAAAAGTTGCTGGTAAAATTGGACAGCAATATGAAAGAAACTCGATTTATGCTAACATCTTGCACCCTTGATAAGCTCCAGGATAAGCTCCAAATGGATATGTGCCCTAGTTACATCGTAAACAGATCAGAAAAACATGGGAAAAATTGTCCATCAAACTTATCAATAGAGGAAAAGTTCATGACCAAACAAGGGATAGAAAATATCACATAAGATAATATGTATAATTTTTATCATAAAATTTTTAAAGTTTTTCGTCAATCCAATAAAGTAAAGATTAAAAGGGAAATATTTAACTGGGAAAAAGGTTTGCACAGGTTTCTCTGATAAAGTTTCATTTCTAAGATACAAGATATATTCATTCTCTAAGTATGTGAACAGACAGTTTTTCAAAAGAAACCCAGACTATCTATAACCATATAAAGAAATGCTTCAAATCACTAGTATGCAAAGAAATGCAAATTAAAATAATTCTGAAGTTCTACTTCACACGCATCAGATTGGAAAAGATGACTAAAAGGGAAAATGACAAACGTTGAAGGGGCTATGAGAAAACAGGCACATTGATTAACTGTTGGTGGGTTTGTGAATAGGTATGACCATTATAGAAAGCAATTTGGAGCCATACCCAGAAAGTTACTGAACACAGCATCCCTTTTGACCAAGATATTCCACTGCTAGATCTGTGCTCCAAAGAAGTGAAAGAAAGAGAAAAAGTTCCTATGTGTACAAAAATATTTATAGCAGCCCTAAAGGGGTACACATCAGGAAAGGTTTAGTAAATTGAGGTATATGAATGTGATGGAACTATTATGCTATAGATGACTTTAAAGAGACATGGAAAAAACATATTAACTGATTTAGAATGAAATATGTGTTATGCTATAATGTCAATAGTATAAAAACAGTTTTGAAAACTTTTATAAACTTATGAATGAAATAAGCAGAACCAGGAGAACAATTTATACATTTGTTTGTAAAGACAAATGACATTCAAAGCTATAAGAACTTTGATCAGCACCATGACCATCTGTGATTGCAGGGGGCTGATGATCAAGCATGTTAACCACCTTCTGACCAGGAGATGATGAATTCAGGATGAAGAATGAGACATATCTTTTTTGAGTACTACCAGTACTGGGATTTGTTTTGCTTTACATATTTGTTACAAGAATTTTTTTCCCCCTAAATTGAGTGGATATGGGAGAAGAAATTGGATTTCTGTTTGTGAAAAAAATAACTTTTTTTTTTTAAAAAAAGAAAAGAAAATAGATTGTGGAAAGGAGAGGTAAGAATCAGGGATAATTCCTTTGACTAAGAGAATAGTAGTGAGATGAATAAAACAAGGAAGTTAGGAGGATTGGGTTAATAGAATACTATTGAACAGCCATTTATTAAGTATCCACTATATATGAGGCAAAAGGAATAGAATAAAAATAATTCATGTCCTCAAGGAGCTTACCTTCTGCCAGGATAATAGAGTAGGCAAAGAGAAGTAATTGCAAGATAATTTGAGCAGGGAAAAATCCCTTACAAAAAAAGGCAACCAGAAAAGGTTGCATATATGAGATGGAACCTGAACTGAGCTGTAAAAGAAAGCTAGGATTTTAAGTGGCAAGATTTTAAGGACATGAAAGGGAAGAGGAAGAGCATTCCTAAAATGGGGATAGACTGTACAGAGTCATGGAGCATAGAGGGAGAAGGCTAAGTTTGGGAACAATGAGTAGGCTTGTGTTGCTAGGACATAGTTTTTGAGGGAGGACTAATGGTCATGTGTCTGGAGCTGGAAGGAACCTCATTCCATCTAGTTTCTTGTTTTGTAGGTGAGGCAATGTACGTACAGTGAAAAAATCTCAGAAAGGTAAGCTGGAACCAGGTTGTGACGGGCTTTGAATGCTAGGTTGAAGAATTTATGTATGATCCTAAAGACAATAGGAAGACACTTAAGATTTTTGATCAGAGTGACATAATAGAACTATTTAAGGAATGCTCATTTGGTAGCACTCTGGAAGATAGATTGGGGAGAAGTAAAACTGTCTCCACATGACAAACTGGTCAGCAGTATCAAAAATTGCAGAGGTCAAGTAAGATGAAGATTGAGAAAATGCTATCAGATTTAGCGGTTGTAAAATCATCAGTTACCTTGAAAAGACTGATTTGATTCAATTGGGGTTGGAAGTCATATTGTAAGCATTGTGAATTGAATATGTAAGCATAAGTGAATTGGAGGGAGGGAAATGGAGATGAGAATCATAGATAACTTTTTAGGAGTTTGGTCATAAGAGGGAAACAAGATGACCATTGGTTGGGGAGACTGTCAAGTCAAGTGAGGATTTTTTTAAAGATTGAAGAGAACTGGATCTTTTTTGTAAAGCAGCAGGAAAGATGGTAGTAATTATGGAAAGATTGTTGGTAAGAGGAAGTGATCAAAGGGGCAAGCTTCCAGAGTATATAGGAAGAAATTGGATCAAGGGCAAAAATAGAGGATTTGGCATTGGCAAGGAGAAGGACCACCCTTTCTGCAGAGACTAGAACAAGGAAGAGAAAAGGGGGATAATATAAAGGAATTTTAAAGTGTGGTATAGTAGACAAAGTGCTGTTTTGGAAGCAGGTGGCTTCTGTTCATTTAATTAGGAGGTGAGGGTCCCTGCTGAGAGGAGTTTATATAAAGGACTTGGGAAGAGAAGGTTTGGAGCAATTACTGTCACTTTCATGATAGTGTCAATCAAGGAAGAAAAAAAGGACTGCTGTATAGCATATAGGGCCTACTTGATACCAGATGGCTTAAACTTGTAGTTGGCATCATTACTTTTTCTACTAATGTACACCATTAGAGGAAGGGTCATCGGAAGCAGATGATGATGGTAATTTAAGGTTGGCAGGGGTTGGAATATGTTAATGGGGATAAGCAAGGGGGAAGGAGACATAGTGGCAAGAGTCAAGAAGGCAAGGTAGTCAAGAATAAAAGGAAGTATAGTTGAATTGTTAAACTGTAGGTGTAAAAACTGAAGAGAATAAAGTCATCACAGTTGATAAATTGGAAGATCAAGGCCATGTATAGTTACTGGAGATCCCAGTTAAAGATGATGAATGATTTTAGGAGCAGTGAGGCAGAGGGAGACATGGAAGGGGTAGGAAGTTATGATCAGAGAAATTGGGTCTCGATTATAGAGCTAGTAGCATAGTTACAAGTGAGTGCTCTGAACTAGGATTTATTTATCCCTGTGGGTTGCTGAGGTGAAGAGTTAAGAAGCCTGGTATAATGGATATTTGAGAGGACATCAGTGTATATATTGGAGATTGTGTTTCATAGTGGCTAGAGTTGTAATCAAGAACACCACCTCAGATACTTACTAGCTGTGTGACCTGAACAAGTCATGTAACTTCCAACTTCAGTTGCCTCATCTGTAAAGGAAGTGATGTTTGGAAAGGTCATGCTTCTTGGGTAGATTATCAGTGTGGAAGCAAATTGCTGAGCAAGTTGACTAGAGAAAAATGGGTCTGTAGGAAAAATTAGTCAACTTTTGAAGTCATCAAGGAAGGTAGAAGTGTTTCCTAGAGGTTGAGAGTCAAGGATGATAAGAATAGAAAGGAATAGTATAGTAGTGTGATGTAGATTAAAAAGGAAAAAACGTTTCATGGAGCACTTATCAGATGAAGAGGTGAAGAGTGATAGTTGGTAACTGTCTTCTGAAGGGTACTGATTACAACAGTACAAAAGTTTTCAGTCTTCCAAGAGTATCCAAAAAAAATGATAGTTATTTGTTTTTGTTTTTTTTTTACTTTTTACCTACTTAATAGTATTTTATTTTTTTCCAATTACGTGTAAAGATAATTTTCAACATTCACTTTTATAAGATTTTGAGTTCCAAATTTTTCTCCCTCCCTCTTTCTTTCTCCCCTCCCCAAGACAGCAAGCAATTTGATCTAGATTATATATGTACAGTCATATTAAACATATTTCCACAAAGAAGAATCAGAACAAAAGGAAAAAAAAACCATGAGAAAGAAAAAACAAAAGACAAAAGTGAAAATAGTCTGCATTCAGACTCCATAGTTCTTTCTCTGGATGTGGATAGCATTTTCCATCATGAGTGTTTTGGAATCATCTTGGATCATTGTATTGCTGAGAAAAGCTAAGTCTGTCATAGGTGATCATCATGCATTGTTGTTATGGTGTACTATGTTCTCCTGGTTCTGCTCACTTCACTCAGCATCAGTTCATGTAAGTCTTTCCAGGTTTTTCTGAAGTCAGCCTGCTCATTATTTCTTATAGCATAGTAGTATTCCATTACATTCATATACCATAACTTATTCAGCCATTCCCCAATTGATGGGCATCCCTTCAATTTCCAGTTTTTTGCCATCATAAAAAGAGCTGCTATAAGTATTTTTGTATGTGTGAGTCCTTTTCCCTTTTTTGTGATTTCTTTGGGATACAGACATGGTACTAGTATTGCAGTTTTGTAGCCCTTTGGACATAGTTCCAAATTGCTCTCCCAATTGGTTGGATCAGTTCACAACTCCACCAACAATGAATTAGTGTTCTAATTTTTCCACATCTTCTCCAACATTTGTCATTTTCCTTTTCTGTCATATTAGCCAATTTGATAGCTGTGAGGTAGTACCTCAGAGTTGTTTTAATTTGCATTTCTCTAATCAATATTGATTTAGAGCATTTTTTCATATGATTATAGATAGCTTTAATTTCTTCAAAATGATAGCTATTTGAATGGCCATATAGGAGAAGGATTAAAATGTATTTGATAGCATTTTCCACATATAGCTGAACTGAAAGGAAAATAATAGCAAACTTTTTTGCTGTCTTTGGGGTTGGGGTTTCATGTTCTGCATAGCTGCTCATTTTTATCAACAAAGTACCTTGTCTATGGAGGGTTTGTAAGTGAGAGATCCTCATTAAGGATTATCTCTAAGGGTCTTTCCAGATCTGATTCTATAAACTATAATCCTTTATATTGGAACTTAGGAAAAAACTTGGTCCTTTTAATAAAAATAAGTGTCATGTTACAGTTGGCCTCAGGAGCATTTACTTGGGTAAATACTTGGGGTCTTCTGTACTTTATTAATTAGATAAATATTTATTGAGTACCTGCTCTGTGTACCTTATGTTCTTAGGAGGAGTAAAATACAATTTTAGCCTAAATCTAATTTATGTTAAATATTTTTCTTCTTCAGAGTAATGTGAAGACATTATATCGTACTCTCATTAGTTTCTTGGCCCACAGTAGTTTAACTGTGGTTGTGTTTGCACTCTCAATATTATCGAGTCTAACATTAAATGAAGAGGTTGGAGAAAAGGTAAATATTGAGTGAGTTTTAAAAAAATTATAAATATAACTTACTTTAAATTTTCTCTGGTTTTAACACATCATTACTGCTTTCATTGGTTTTTTTGTTTTTGTTTTTGGACATATTGAACACCAGTATCTGGTTCAGTTTTATATGCATTACACCTCTTATATTTTATTTTTGTTTTTAAGCTATTCCATTCTCGAAACATTCATCAGACTTTTCAGTTAATATTTAATATTCTTGTAAATGGTGATGGTACATTAACCAGAAAGTATTCAGTTGACCTACTTATGGATCTTCTCAAGAATCCTAAAATTGCGGATTGTCTCACCAGGTACATCTATGTTCTCTTGGTAAACTTAGAGCTTTTTTTCTGTACAAGCGTATGTTGAGAACCCTTCATTGCTAAAAATATAACTGTCATCTTCATCAGTTGCAGTGAAATTAATTTCTAATGAATCACTGAAGACTATAAGCAGGAATATTTTAACATTCTTCATTTCACTTATATTTTATATTTGACTTGAAATACAAAAAGGCAATATGTGATTCATGTATTAAATCAGGGATGTCAAACATATGGCCTACAAAATTCTTGAGCATAGCTGACCCAGATTAAAATGTAATTGGCAAATATCTAGCAAAATAAATAAAAATACATTAAAACATAGAAACTACATAATTTGTGGTTTTCTAAGTCAGTATGTATAGACAAGGGTTTTTGTTTAGTGGCCTCTGTTTCTGTTTGAGTTTGTCACCACTGCCTTAAATGATTGGATCTGTCTTTTATCTTCTGAAATTCGGCTGTCTGGATTACCTTTATTCAAAAAATAATTAAAGAACAAAAATTGGTTTTAAATATCAGGTCAGAATGGCTTTTTATATTAGTGGATGATATTATTTATTATAACTAAGGTTCTGTTATAATTGTTTATTATAGCTATGGTTCATCACTGGCATAGTAAGCAACACTTTCTACCTCTTATTCTCTGTTTCCCTGCTATATATGTCATTATGCACTTAATTTATGTTATTTAGCATTCTAAACTAAATTCCTCTAATTGCCTTAACCAAAGGTGTCAAACTCATGAAAGAGGAACCAGATTAAAATGTTATTGGGAAATTTTCAACAAATAAAAATACAGTATAACATAGATAATGTTAATTTATGCCTTTCTAAGTTGGTGTGTGGCCTGCTCTGCTTCTATTTGAGTTTGACACCACTGGCCTAAACCATTCTCTATACTAGAGACTTTTTGAGATGAACATAGGAGATCATTGTAGGAATGGAGAATATATCTCAAGCATTTGGACAAGAGTGTTAATTTAGCATGTGTCCAATGAATATCCTCTGCAGTAAAATGGACTCTGACTTTTCCAAGATTTACTAGTGCCCTCCCCATGCTGTTGTTCTTCCATTTTAGCATGATATCTCTTTTCATAATTGCCCTCTGATTTATCAATTCACATCTCCCTTGATGAGGTAGCAGATGGTATGCAATCTACTTTATTACGAATACCAAAATCCTATTGGGCACCACACCAATGAGAGACTCTTCCTCAATATCACATTTATTATGGAGAACATCGTTGTAATGGTAAGCATGGGGGTAAATGTTATGATTTGAATATAGGAGAACTGAAGTAATTAAGAAATTAATGACTGATTAATGAATACATAATTGTGTTGATTTCTGGGATTATAGGAGTTAGAGCTGAAAGGGACCTTAAATGTAGTTCAGTGCAACCCTGTCATTATATAGTTAGAGAAATTGAGAACTACAATATTAAAGTGACTTGCCCTAGGTCACAAAAGTATAAGTAAAAAAGTCAGTATTCTAAGCCAGGTCCTGATTCTAAATTAAGTGCTCCTTCCAATATGCCACACTGTTCTATTCAGTAGATTTATACAACCTGTACATTTTTAGGCTCAAGGTAGTTCATGTGATATTTGAAGTTAAAATCCACATTTTTAAAAAAGCATTTTCATTTTACTTTGGGAGCAGAAATTTTAAAAGTGTGTGATTTTGTTATGATTTTATAATAGTGATGCTATTTATCTTTGTTTATATTTAGGTATGAACACTTCAACTCATGCCTTAATCAAGTGTTAGGTCTTCTTCATGGGAAGGACCCTGATTCTTCTTCAAAGGTATATTTAAAGCTAGATCTTTTGAGAATGTCGTTTGTGATTCTTGAAAGCTACAAGAACCCTTAAGTTTTATATTATCAATTTTAAAGGCATGGTTGAAAGTTGTTTTCATATTAATTTTCATGTATTCACTTAAATATGACTAACTTTTAAGCTTAGCATTTGATTTCACACGTTAATGTCCAGTCACATTGGTTTTTAATAAGATCTCCTATGTTTATACTGCACAGGTTTTAGAATTACTTCTTGCCTTCTGTTCAGTGACACAACTGCGCCATGTTCTTAGTCAGGCGGTATTTGAATCACCTGCTTCTGGTAACCCAAGACTGGGAAACCATCCTAAATCTTTAGAGCCAACAGTTGCTCTGTTACGTTGGTCAAAGCATCCCTTGGAAGGATCAGAAAACTGTTCTGTTCTAGCACTGGAATTGTTCAAGGAAATATTTGAGGTAATATGATAGTGATGATATCTTAATGTTGCTCTTTTTTGTGTGGTACTGTATAATAATAACCCTTTTTGAAAGAAGTGTATCTCTAGGGAATTTTAAAAAATTGATGGCTGTATTCTCTTCCACTTAGCTAGGTGGAAATATCCATAAGTGCTAGTGCCTAAGTACTCCTCCATTAACTTTTTTTTTTACACTTGCCTTTAATGTAGTTTAACAGAAACAGTGGGGACTTTATTGATTTGATATCACTTTTTTGTAATCAGTAACCAATATATCTAGTAAATACTGCCTACTAGTGTTATAAGGCATGCACACACACACACACACACTCACTCACACACACACACACACACACACACACACACACACACACACACACACACACGCAGAGATATATATATAGGCTTATATAGCCTAATCTCATCAAGTCTTGGTGATTACATAGCTTAGCATTTCTCACCTTGATGGCCTCTTCTCCTAGCCACTGCCTTCTCCAAAAGGGCTTCCCTTGCAATTTATCTGAGTCTTAGGTACAAGAGAGTGGTGTGCACATTTGGAAGATAATCCTTAGTAATACTAGTATTTTGAATTATTCATATTACTAGTCTTTTGTCTTGATCCTTGATCATTGTGTTTTATAAAGCATTTTGAGTGTGTTGAAAACTGCATACAGTTTATTGTAAATTTATTTGCAAAATATTAGACTAGCCAGCTGAACTGCTAACTTTCTTCACATTTGGCATTTTCTTCCTTCTTCCCATGCCTTTGCACAGGCTGGTCTGGAATACTTTCCTTCTTAAAATCCCTGATATCTTTCAAAGTTCAGCTCAAACATTACCATACAAATGAAATTTTTGCTGATTCTGCCCTCTCCCAGGTGCTAGTGCCTCTTGTCATCCAACTTACTGTGTATTTACTTTGCATATTTTTTATAATTATCAATATTCATACTTATTTCCCCCAATAGAATATATCCTCCCTAAGTCAGGGACTGTTTCATTTTTGTCTTTGTACTCCTCTGTGCCCAGTGTGGTGCATGGCACATAGTGGGCACCTAATAAAGGCTCATTAATTCATTAAATCTAGTTCCTAGTTTTATTTTGCTGGGTTTTTTTTTTTTATCATAACTAAGAAAGACTCAAGTTCACTCAGTCTAGCATCTAGTCACTGCTGGCTGTGTGACATGGGCTAGTAACTTAACCTTCCAGTGCTCTGGGTAGTACTCTAAGACTATAAGTACTTTCCTGCATGAGTAATATTAGTTCCTTCTATCACCAAGAGTTCCCTGTATCAGTGAAATAAAAGGTATAGACTCTCTCCTCATACCTTACTATAAGTAAGAGATTCTGAGTTTTAACTGAAAGCCTAAGTTTAGAATAACTAATATAGCAGAATGCAAAAACTAAATAAAGAAAATTACCTAATTAAGGAAAAGAGATCTAAATAGATAGCATAAGAAGAATGTTCAATAATGACCATTTTTTCTGTGTACCATATTATAGCTAACATTTTTATTGTTAATCCATGGTGTCTGTGTAACCTCTACAGGATGTCATAGATTCTGCCAGCTATTCCTCTACTGATCGTTTTCTGACCCTGCTGTTGCCCAGCATTCTTGACCAACTTCAGTTCACAGAACAGAATCTTGATGACCTACTAACAAGGAAAAAATGTGAAAGAATGGCTAAGGCCATTGATCTTTTGCTTAATATCCTCTGAAATGATGCAGAATATATGTGATATTTACTCTCCTAATTTTCCCACTAAGGTATTGAATTTGAATTTTCAGTTATATTTTATCACTCTTGATATTATTGTCTGCTCAGAATTAGTAGGCCAGAATTTTAAAATCCCAGAATGATATATTTTAGTGAGGATATTCTAGTAAGTTATCCCTTATTTTACTTTTTTTTTAACTAAAAAGTAAAATTGAAATTTTTATGTAAAAATCTACTTCAGTTAGTGCTTTTAAAAATTGTATCTGATATTCCCATTGGAATCTTAAAGCAGGTTCTAAAGATGCTGTTCATTTTCTTCTCTAGGCTATACTTTTACTTCTGGTTGCTGTCGTGAAATAATTCTCTTTTTCTTTTCAAGTTTCATAGCAAGCAAAACAGTTAAGACATGAGAAAGCAAGTAAGCCTTTGCTTAGTACGTGGCATCTGATGTTTAATAGGCACTTACGAGGTTAGTAAATGAATCCATAACTTCTTTAAAACTGAACTCCCTTACTTGCTTCCTCCTACCTGAAGCATTTCCTCAGTTGTTTGTGATTTCTATCTCTGATCAAATTATCTGGTGGTGGAGTCATATCATCTATGCATTTAATTTACATTCTACCAACTTGACAGAAAAAGAGAAGAGAGAAAAATAATAATTTATATAGTTTAGGTGGTTTTGTGCCACTCAGTGAGCAGGCTGAAGTGAGAGTTAGATGAGACACATGAGTTTGCTATTCCCACAGACAGGTCTCAGTTCCCTCAGGTCTTTTGTAGTGAGAGTATCTTGCCTAATGAGTGCGATTCTAGAATCTTTCTTCATCATTTTGTTGTTTTGTTTCAGTCGTATCTGACTCTCCATGACCCAATTAGGGATAAAGATACTGGAGTGGTTTGCCATTTCCTTCTCCAGTTCATTTTGCAGATGAGAAAACTGAGGCAAACAGTGTTAGACTTGCCTAAGGTCACAGAGCTAGTGAATGTCTGAGGCAGGATTTGAACTCAGGTTCTCCTTACTCCAGTGCTGGTGCTCTTATCCACTGTGCCACCTAGCTGCCCTTCATCATATCTACAGTCCGTTCATTCTGATAAAACTAGTAAAGCTAATCAAAGAAACAGCCCTAATTGGTCAACTAGAAGGTTCCTTCTTCGTTTCATTTGACTTCCTTGTATCCTTTCTAGACTGATGGTAAAGCAGGAAAAAGAACAGTTATATTTGATCTCCTTCTGATATAATTGTGCTTATGTGTGAAGCCCTTTCAAGCGTATTTTTCCCACATCAGTTTTCCACAAGTTTTTGTTTGCTTCTATTTGAATAGAAGTCCCCTTACTCCCCAGCTTTGCCAATCATGGGTTAGCTGGACATTATAAAAAATAAAATTTCCCTTCACTTGTTTCCATAGAAACCATCTTAGCTCCATCTTCTCTCTGATACGGACTGCCTTCTTTTAAAGACACCCTGGCCCCTTTCCAGCTACAACTGTAGAAAGTTACTAAATTTACTTTATGGATTACTTAAGGGAATTTCAAGGGCAATTTTGAAAATAACTACATTTTTGACTTTGGCACTGATTTTAGAATATAACCTGCAATAAAATGTGAGTCCACTATATCTGTGTACGTATTTTAGGCCCCCAGTAAAAAGTAAGCCCTTCTTTAGAAGAGGGATTGTTTTCCCCCTTTATTCTTTCTATTTCTAATACCTGGTACGCTGCTTGGTGCATAGTAAATGTTTAATAAATGTTTGCTGAACTAAATTGCAGTGAATTGATGGATTCATTGCAACATTTGTTGATACGTATTTCAATTCAGGAAGTATTTGTTAAGCCCTTGCCACATGTCTGGTTATCATGCTGGGTAGCTAGAGTTACAAAGATGAAAATGAAACCATCCTTCTTCTTCAGTAGCTTACAATCTGATGTAAAGAAATAAAATTATCATAAAACAAAGTGCTTAAATAATTTTTAACTAAAATAAGTAAACTATAAAACTAGATTTTTTCTTTCTTTTTTTCTTGTAAGTGCAAAATAGTACTCTTGTCTGTGTTTCTTCTAGTCATTACACTATTTTAGCTTCTCTAAGTCAGATGATAAGCAACCAGCATTCTACTTTGTTACTAACAAGAAACTCTCAAAAAAAAAGAACCTCTGTTTCAGTCAACTGTCTTTTATTCACTTGACCTCATCCTTTTAGAGCAACTTGCTTTACTCAAGTTTGTCTTGTTTTCTGAACAATCTTCTCTTTTTAGTTCCCACTCCTCCTTTTTCTGAATAGTTGGGACATATGGTTTCATTCTTTGTTCCTATTTAATACACTCAGGCTCAGTATGGATTAATTACTCATCATGACTCAGAAATATGACTTAAACAAGTAGAAGAGCCTGACAAGATAACCAATATGTTAAAACAAATTAGGTCATCTTGTAGCATAGATGAGACAAATAGATTTATTAACACTACCTTTCTCTCATCTTTAATAGTTTGTTAATATGAGAGATGTTTTTAAAATTTTCTCATGTCTTATTGTTCCTTAACTAAGTCTACCTTTGTGTGGAGATGATACATTAAAAATGCATGTTGCTAAACTATTGACTACCCTCAGATGTACAACTCTAATAGAACAACAGTTTTCATGTAGCAAGATTGACATTGAGTTTGGAACAAAGGTAGCAGATTCTGAACTTTGGTGAGTATATTAAGGTAAATATTTTAAGAATTCATGCATATAGGGAAAAAAAAAATCCAGGCTAGTTATTCTAGCCTGTTTTCTAGACATGTTTTCTAAAGATCTAGTAAGTATTTATTTCAAGAAGTGACAGAAAATCTGGCTAAAAACTTTCAAATTTGCTTTTAATTTAAAAACTAAATATTTGTCATTTGGTCCTTTGATAGTGAAAGAGGGGCACAGAAAGGATAGGGGTTGTGAAAACAAAACCATGATAGTTTTCAACTGAAAAAGTTGGGCATCATAGCTTTGTGCTCAGATGAACCTACCAGAGGTATGTGTACTTGTTTTACGCAAATACAAACAAATGAAAATATATTTACATTATCAAAAATAATGCTTTCAAAGTCAAAATAAGTTATACTTTTGAAAATATTTTTAATTATGTTCTTTTCTCCAAATATGAAGAATTCTTATGAAGTGAGAGTATAAATGCTAGTTTTGGCTTTTCCCCCCTCTCCAAACCTTAATATAGATGAGGTCACTAAAAAATGTTAGTTTGTTTTTTATTAATACTTTTGTGATGCTTAAGGTATGCCATTCCAAAATTCTGACTTTAGATTTTTGAGAAAGAATAAAAAATCAGTTTTGGAGGTGGTAAGGGTGATTTTGGCCTCTAGAGGGCTTTTAATAATATCCCTACTATATAATCCTTGGCTCTTTTGGTATAGAGATGTGTTAAAATTTGGGAGCCTTTGGGAATTTCTTTTCCTCTGAAGCCCCTTCTAATACTTTTTCAATACAAAAAAAGTGGAATCTTATTGCAAGGAAGTCCATCACCAACAACAATTCCATGCTACTACTAGGGGATGCCTTTCCTGTGTTGGGATATCAAGAAATAAACTCTGGAATGGAATTTGGCATTTTCATTTAACATTTATATATCAATTTGATAGTAACATGTACTTAACATATATGTTTGGAAATTGGACAAATTCATGGTAGCCCAATACAGAAAATTTCGACAGGTAATTATATATGATAAACTCCTTAAGCTGGTATTATCATTTCTTTTGTACTTTCTTCTAAGTATAAACAGTATAGTACAGAACCTAACACGAAGTAGAAGCCTAGTTTAATGACTTTGTACTGACAAATCATCATAGATAACCATTTTTGTCCTGTTGATATAGTCTAAAGAAAGAAACCAATAATTAAATTAGTCCCGTTGATAATACTCCTGACTTTGGTCTAGAAAGTTGGAGTATACTTATGGTAGACGGGCAGGAGAAAAAAAGACCTTTAAAGAAACTTTTACTGCTATTGCTATTACTATTTGAACTGTGATTCTAGAGATTTCCGTCTTATAGAGTATTGTCTTTTGACGCCTCATATTAGTGATTATCCTCATCTTTTCCATGGTTTAAAAGAAAATAAGTATGATTTATCAGGTTCTTCAGAGATATTGTGAGAAAACAAGCTTATCAACCTTAAATACTCTAATTTATATATACTTTGCCATTTTTGAAGCAAACTTGCTGCGGATGTCATTTTGAAAACACTTGATCTTATGAGTAGACTTAAACAGTTGATTCCTGGTATGGAAGTCACTTTCTACAAAATGCTTCAGGTAGGTTTTATTTTTTAAGTTCAGATAGAAACATTTCATCATAATTGAATGTGTGCTCCAAGAATTTTTCATTTCTGTTTTCATGTACTTATGTCTAGGTGTGAAGGGATGGGGTGATAACAAATGTTAGAGATAAGGGTGTATAGATGAGAGATGTTATGAAGGTGCAAATGACAATTTGGCAGCAGCTTGGATGGGGTGGGTAAGAGAGTAAGGAGTTAAAGGTGACATGTAGGTTTTGAGTCGGAGTGACTGGGAGAATGGTTGTACTCTTCACAGTACTAGAGAAGTTACAGGGGAAGGTGAGAGTTTTAGGGGAAAGATAAGGAATTCAGTTTTTGGACATGTTGAGTTTAAGATTCTATGAGACATCTAGTTTGAGATGTCTAGTAGACAGTTGGAGATGTGAGACTAGAGGTCGGGAGAGAGGTTAGAACTGATTAAATCTGGGACTCTGATGTTTAGAGATGATAGATGAATCCATGGGAACTGATGAGATAGTATAGTATATGTGAAATAGTACGTAAGGAGAAGAGAAGAGGGCCCTAGACAGAACCTTGTGGGACACCTGTGGTTAATGGGCATGACTTGGATGAAGGTCCAGCAAAGGAGACTGAAAAGCAATGGTTAGTCAGTCACTAAGCATTTAGTAAGTGTCTACTGTGCGCCAAGCATTGTGCTGTGTTCTAGGAACACAAAGAAGGGCAAAAGATAATCCCTCCCTTTGAGTTCACAATCTAAAGAGAAGTAGGAGAAAGCAGTGTCGCAAAACCTAAAGAAAAAAGAATATCAAGGAAAAGAGAGAAACTACAGTGTTATAGGCTACAGAGAGGTCAAGAAGAATGAGTGTTGAGAAAGGTCTTTAGACTTGGTGATTAAGAGATCATTGGTAACTTTGGGAGAGAGCAGTTTTCAGTTGAATGAGGAGATCTGAAGTCAGACTGCAAAAAGGTTAAGGAATTAGGAAGAAAGGAAGTAGAGTTATTGATTGTAGATAGTTTTCTCAAGGAGTTTAGCCAGAAAAAGGAGAAGAGATATAGCGAGATAGTTAGTAGGGATGGATGGATTGAGTGAGGGTTTTTTGAGGATGGAGACATGGGCATGTTTATAGACAGTAGGGAAGGAGCCAAGTACACAAGGAGAGTTTGAAGATAAGTGAGAGAGTGGAGATGACAAAGGGGGCAATCCACTGGAGAAGACAGGATGGAATGGAATCACTTGTAGAGGATTTAGTTTATCAAGGAGATGGATTACCTCTTCATGTAAAATAGGGATGAAAATGGAGAAAGTGTCAGAAGGCACCTTAGTGATGTGAGATGAGGAGAAGAAGGGAGGAAGCTCTCAGCAAAAAGCCTCAGTTTTTTCAGTGAAGTATGAGACAGGGTTCTCATCTGAGAATGTGTATGGTTTGGGGACGGGGCATGGGGAATTTGAGGAGGGATGAAAAGATTTGGAAACCCACTGTCATGAGTAGAATAGCGAATGATTTAAAAAGGTGGAAAAGGACTGCCTTATCACAATGAGGGTTCAGTTAAGATTATGTAACATAAATTTGTAGTGGATCCAGTCGGCATAGCTTTGTGATTTTGTTGAACTTCGTTCAGGAGTGTGTGAGTGGCAGTGGGTGGTAGAAGTGATCCAGGACCAAGACTTGGCAGGGCAAAAATCTTCAGTAGGATAAAGGGGCAAGAGACTCCAGAGAGAGGACAGTGTAGAGTTGAACTGGTTCACTGGGGGGTCAAGATGGGGAAGGAAGGAGAATGTAGCTATGGTAGGGGTGATGGCCTGGGAAAGAAGTGAGGGGTGGAAGGATTAGAAGTAAAAGTGAGGACAAAGAATAACTTTGAGGGTTGAGCAAGGCAGAGGGAGAGCTAGAAAGACAATAGATTGTGATCAGTTAAAAGAATTATAGAGTTCATGAACATGAAAGTTGTGCGTTTGTGGATGATGGCAAGGTCAAGCTTATGACCATCTCTGTGTGTAGCTGAAGTGGAGTGTAGGACTTGGTCATTGGAAGTGATTAAGTTCAGGAACTGGGAGGTTAGAGTGTTTGAGGGAGTATCGGTATATCTGTTCAAGTCCTTTAGTATAAGGGTCTTTGAAAGAATAAAACAACTTGAAAATCAAAGTTTTAGAAATAGTCTATGGTTCTCCTTTAAAATCTTGTTATCGTTATTTTCACTTAACAGCTTTTCTATCAGTAGTTCACTCCTGCTCTCACTCTCTTTCTTCCCCCCCCCCCCCCTTTTCTTCCCTCACCTTTTTGTCCTCCCCGCACTCCTTTTCGGGGGAAGATGTTTCCCTTTCTCCTAATTAACTTGACTTTTACCATGTGCTTTTTTCTTTGTTTAGGATCAACGTTTGATTACTCCTTTAGCTTTTGCTTTAACATCAGAGAAGAGGGAACAAGTGCAACGTGGACTTGGACTATTACTGGAAGCTGCACCGTTACCAGACTTCCCTGCCATAGTGTAATTAAGTTGTGGTTGTTTGTGTTACTAACAAAAAATTCTTTAATAATAAACATAACCTGCATTTCTTGTATCTAAACTTTTGGGATATAATCAATAAAATTACGTAAACATATGAGAGAGATACTGTAACATTTCATTAAACTAGAATAATCAAGAAGGTTAATCAATTTTTTAAAAATTGGAGAGAAATCTTAAGTTTTTATGATTTTTAAAATCTAAAATTATTTAATTTTATATAATTATAAATAATAATTTTATGATATAAGTAATAAAATTATTACTGCCTAAGTGAAAGTCCTGATGGGTCTCTCTCTTAATGAAGAGAAAACGATGATGTATACTTGTTTGTATACGAGTAGATATAGAGTGGTTCAGAAAGTCACTTTTGAAAGCAGTTTGTTTTCTTAAGCAGGTCCAATTCATTCTGAACTTTTAACTGTTAATTTGCATTTGTTAGCAAAGCTTTTATTAGTACAAAAGTCAGCTTTAACTCACCCAGCCGCCAGATAGCTCAAATTTTGAATTAGCAAAGTGCTAATCAATACATGTTCCTGTAACAACATTGATAATGATTATGGGTGTGTCTGTATGTGTATATGTCTATGAGAGGCAGCATAATATAATGGATAGAGAACTGGCCTTGGAGCCAGGAAGACCTAGGTTTAAGTCCCAAGACTTAAATGTACTCGCTTTATCTTCCTGAGCAAGCTTTTTTTTTTCAGTGTCTGGATTTTTGACTGACTTTTTCCATTTATTTATTTTCCGTTCAGCCTTGGTGAAAGTATTGCAGCAAACAATGCGTACAGACACCAGGAAGCAGAGCATGTGCCCAAAAGGACCCATGTGCAATCAGTGACTCTGAATCTTTCAGCATCTCTGAAGGGCTCAGCTCACCTTTCAAATGATAGCATCTCTGGTTTGAACATTCAGGACCTAATACAGAAACTGCAGATTGGGATGGAGGTGAATGATCCTTACTAATTATCATATGACAAAGTAGAATGACTTCACATGGAAATCTCTTGCCAGAATTTATTCTTAAAAACCTAGGTTTTTTAGTAGGTTTATGTAAAAAAACTGAAAGAATTCTTACAGTAATTGATTTCATACACAGCAGTCTCTTGTAGCAGCCAAGGTAGTGGGTAACGTTTGTGATCTCCACTTAAAAAACAAAGCTGTTTTATATATTATTTTACATAATGGTATACATTATTTTTGCTAGATTTACAACTAAGTTCAAATGCTGTTTCTTGTTCTTTTCTATGTTAATGCTTATGAAGATGAAGGATCTTATGTCTGATGTGAGAATATCTGACATAATGGATGTCTATGAAATGAAATTGTCTACATTAGCAGTGAGTAATTGCCATGTTTTATCTTGAATAAATAAGGACAGCATTTTGGTTTTGTACAGATGCTCTTCTTTACAAATAAATGCTACTGTTATCTGTTCTTGTCTTTTATAGTCCAAAGAAAGTAGGTTACAGGATCTTTTGGAAGCAAAAGCCTTAGCCCTTGCACAGGCTGATAGATTGATTGCTCAGTATCGTTGTCAGAGAACCCAAGCTGAATCAGAAGTGAGTACATTTTGTATATGTCAATCTGATGTTGACATGAGGAAAATAAGTTAAAACAAATATTGCTTTCTAAGATTATGGGAAATGTTTAAGGACAAACATATAAGGCTTATGTGCATGAAATATTTGAATAAACTAGAGAAGTCATAGAATGATCAAGTCAAATAAAAATAGTATTTAAGTAATTTGGAGTCATTCCTTTTGAAGCACAGAATAGATTTACTGATTTTATAAGATGGTATTAATTACAAGTAATTCTATTTTAGCAAATTCCATTTTCAAATAGAGTTCACTTAGGAAAGCTATTTTGATATACCATGGTTTGACCTAAAGTTAGTAGTACTTTACTTTTCAGATTTTGGTGAATTCCATTAAACTAAAAACTTTTGTAGAAAAAGATATTTACGATGCCCTGTCAATATAGCAATCAATTGCTTAATAAAAACAGTATTGTTTTGATTTGGTATTTGTGCTTTTATCTGTAATGGAAGATGAAATCTGTTTGCTGAGGACAAAGTCTAAGAGAAAGGTCTGTATCTCTTTGTATCCCCAGAACTTTGTACCTGATTGACATTTAGCAGATCTTTCAGTAGAGTTGGGATAATGAGAAGGGGTGGGGAAAAGAGAAAATAGAGATCTAAAAAAGTCATTAAATATTTATCTGATGCTGAATGTGTTCACAGGGTGGTGTGCTAGGTGTCAGGAAAGTAGAGTGGATGAAGTGGGCTAGGATTGAAGTTAGCAAAATCCTGGGGTGGGGGGGCGCGGGCGGGAATGAGGTATGAGTGAAGCTTGAGTGGTTCCGTAATCTCATCAATGTGAGTACTCCTTCTGCAAATGTAAGCCATCTATACCTTCTTATCTTTTGTGACTTTTGTCCATGTTTTCCTCTAAATTCTCTACCTGGGTCCATTCAGTGTGACTGGGGCATTCTTCTAGATCTTATGACATTGTTTAGATACCGTAAGAGCAGAATGCTGTTGTCTGGTTATTGCCTCGTGATTGACCTATTAACTTTTCTAGTCCTACAACTCTGATGATATCTTTTATACTGTTTATCCTTTGCAACTCTTCTATTTGTGCACTTCTCCATTGCCTTTGGATTGACCTAAAATTCTTATTCCTTGAAGATTATAATTTTTTTAAGACTTGCAGCTCAGTTTACTACCCATCTGTAGTGTTTGTCCAAGAGACAAATACGGGTTGACCAGCTTTGTGGGTTATCCATCCAACTCACATAGTAGTCTAAACAAAAGGCATTTTTTATCCAATTGATATTTTTTTCTGAGTGAATAATTAAGTGAAATTAAGGGAGTGTGAAGAGATTTCATTTAGGAGGCTCTGCAGTATTGTAGAGCTTGATGTAATCAATCAGTACAGTATCCATCAGTAAAAAAAAGAACATCTGGAGGACTTCATCTATATAGATTCCCTCTTATATTTGGATCCTGCTGGATATCTTCCATGACCATGGTAGCATCTTTGGTGAGCATACATTTCCCTTTTTTAATCCATGTTTGATATTAATAATCAGAGGGTTGATGAACAAAGTTTTCTGTTGTTAGATCTTTAATGGACTCATCATTTTAGTATACGTACTAGAACCACTTTATTTTAAGGGGCCCTTTCAGTTAGTGTTTTGCTTGGCCACATAAAATAGTCTTTTTGTAGTCAGACAATAAAAACAGTAGGCTCTTGAATTCTTTACACATTTCAGTTATGTGACTTTAAAGGTGTATTCTCATCTAGAATGTTATTTGTGAAAGCTTCCCTGTTTACTTTGCATAATTTAACTAGGGATGCCCTTAATTTAGTTATAGGTATAAATTATTCTGAAAAATACTCCAAAGAGCTTAGAAAATGGGCATGTGTCAAGAGTTGTTGATGAGGTTTATTATCTCTTCCAAATATTTAGACCCTTTTTTCAGGAATTTTGAGAATCATTTGCTTAAAACACTCAAAATTGTGTTACCTTTAGTACTTACTTCCTTTTTATATATTTGTATATAAGCCATTTCCTTCCATCTTCATTTTTTTAGTGCCATTTCTATTTCCTCAAATAGGACATGTTAAGAATTCAAATATAGAGAGTCCATTGCTATTGATAAACAAGAGAATTTGTTATTTCTATTTTATTTGTTTTTCTATTTTTTGTCTTTTCATTATCCTTCTAATTTCATCCTTTGGATGTTTTTCAAAGGCTCTGTCTTAATTAAATTCCTCACCAGTTTTTTGGTAAACTTGTTTTTCCCTTTCATACTTTGCAGTGTTTTATGAAATTATATTCTCTTGTTTTTAAACTTTATTTTTAACATTGATTTTTAAAAATTTTGAGTTCTAAATTCTCTCTCCCTCCAATTTCTCCCCTACCCATTGAGAAGGCAAACAACATATCAGTTACACATGTAAAGTCATACAAAACATATTTCCAAGTTAACTACATTGAAAAGGAAAAAAAGAAGAAAAAGAAAAGGAAGTAAAAAAAGTGTGCTTCAATTTGTACTCAGAGTTCATCAGTTCTGTCTCTCTGGAGATGGATAGCATTTTTCATCATGGGTCCTTTGGAATTATCTTGGATTGTTGTCTTGATCAGAGTAGCTAAATCTTGCACAATTGATTATCCTTACAGTATTGCTGTTACCATGTATAATGTCCTCCTGGTTCTGTGCATTTCAGTTTGCATCAGTTCGTATAAGTCTTTCCAGGTTTTTCTGAAACCATCCTACTTGTCATTTTTTATAGCACAATAGTATTCCATCGCAATCATATACCACAACTTGTTCAGCTATTCCCCAATTAATGGCCATCCCCTCAATTTCAATACTTTGTCACCACAAAAAGAGCTGTCATAAATATTTTTCTATATATGGGTCCTTTTCCCTTTTCTTTGATATCTTTGGGGTACAGGCCTAGTAGTGATTTTGCTGGGTCAATAGTCCTTTGGGCATAGTTCCAAACTGTTCTCCAGAATGGAATAGTTTACAACTCCACCAACAATGTATTAATCTTCAAATTTTCCCACATCCCCTCCAGCATTTATCATTTTTCTTTTCTTTTTGTTTTTTTTTTTTGCTAGGCAGTGGGGTTAAGTGACTTGCCCAGTGTCACACAGCTAGTAAGTGTCAAGTGTCTGAGGCCGTATTTGAACTCAGGTCCTCCTGACTACAGGCCTGGTGCTCTATTGATTACGCCACCCAGCTGCCCCTATCATTTTTTTTTTCTGTCATGTCAGACAATCTTGTAGGTTTGAAGTGGTGTGTGAGTTGTTTTAATTTACATTTCTCTAAATCAGTAATGATTTAGAGCATTTTTTTCATGAGATCATTGATAGCTTTTATTTCTTCTTCTGAAACCCACCTGTTTGTGTCCTTTGACTATTTATAAATTGGGCAGTGGCTTTTATTTTTGTATATGGGATCAGTTCATTTGAGAAATGAGATCTTTATCAGAGAAATCTCCTATAAAATTTTTTTTCTCCAGTTTCTTTCCAATTTTGGCTTAGTTTTGTTTGTGCAAAATCTTTTTAATTTCATATAATCAAAATTATCCATTTTGCTTCCTGTGATTCTTAGTTCTTCCCTTATTCATAAATCTAATGGGTAAAATTTTTCATGCTCCTCTAATTTACTTATGATAACACCCTTTATGTCTAAATCATGTACCTATTTTGACCTTATTTTGGTATATGACGTGAAACGTTGGTCTGTGCCTAGTTTCTGCCAAAGTACTTTTCAGTTTTCTGAGCAATTTTTGTCATGGTGAGTTCTTGACCCAGACGCTTTGATCTTCAGATTTATCAAACACTAGATTATTATGTTCATTTACTATTGTGTAATGTGTACCTAATATATTTCACTGATTCACCACTTTATTTCTTAGTTAGCATTAGTTTAGTTAGTTAGATTGTTTTGATGATTACCACTTCGTAATATAATATAATATAATATAATATAATTTGAAATCAATTTGAAGTCAATTAATTTAGGGAGAATTGTCATTTTTATTACATTTTTTTGGCCTACCCATGAGCAATTAATATTTCTCCAGTTGTTTAGATCTAACTTATGCAAAAAGTATTTTGTAATTGTGTTTATATAGTTTCTGGATTTGTCTTGGCAAGTAAACTCCCAAGTATTTTATATTGTCTGCCATTATTTTAAATGAAATTTCTATCTTTTACTGCTGGTTGTAATGTTCTCTTAACAAAGGAAATAAACACGTAGCATGGTGCCTAGCACATAGTAAGTGCTTAATAAATATTATCTTATTTGATCCTCACAATAACCCTGGGGACTATTACTATTCCCATTTTACAGTTGAGGAAACTAAGGCAAACAGAAGTTAAGAAACTTGCCCAGAGTCACACAGCTAGTAAGTGGCTGAGGCCAGATTTGAACTTTGGTCTTTCTGATAGATAGGAGGCTTCCAATATACATATTCCATGTATAGGTATGAGGTAAATTCCAGTGGTTTGTAATTTACAAACCTTTTACTCTCTCTCATTTCTTGCCCCAAATGGTTTCCAAAATATCTTTTGCCAAATCAACTCCTCTTCTAAACTTTCCTGTTTCTTGGGAAGGCACCACCATTCTTTCAATGGCTGGCTCCTTACTTCTGCCTCATGGAAATCCTCTCAAGCACCATTTCTCCACAGAGCCTTTCCTGATACTCCCAACTGCTAGTACCTTCCCTCCATAACTACCTTGTATTTAACTGCATGTTTTTATTTGGTGTATATTTAATCTATGTATAGTTAAAGATATGCATGTTTTCTCACCTAAGAAAATATAAGCTCTTTTTAAGTATGGATTGTTTCATTTTTTTTTTTTTTTGGTCTTTATATCTCCAGTACTTTGTAGGTACTTAATAGATTCTGTTGACTGATTAGTTGATGTGTTTGCATTGAAGTCACTGAATGTTAAAGAATACATTTATTTCATTTGGAAGTGCTTGCCAAATTCCTCACAGATATTCTCTACCTCCTTATATTCTAAATTAATAATACTTATATGACTTGGTGACCTTATCAATGTGAATATTCACTTAGATGATTCAGATTACAGCCAGTACATGCCTTCCCATTGCCCATATCTTGCCATTAGTTTACCACAGGACATCACTTGGCATTGCAAAGATATCAGTGAAAGCCATAGGCTATCATTGCTTATCGTTTGCTCTTACCATGTGACCACCTCATATTTTTCAGTCACATTTCTTTGGTGAAATCATTACTCCAATTCTTTGTAATTCCTTATTTCTTATATATTTGAGTTTGCTCTCTACCTTACGCTTCTCCATCTCTGTCTGAATGATACCCAGAAGTATTATATTATATGCTATAAAACAACATTAGTAGGCTATTGATATTAAGAAGATGGCCTTTTATTTTATAGGAGGAGTAGAAGATGATTAAAGAAGCTTTGCAGTCTTCCAAAAGCAATCTTGGACCTCTCTTGTTGTATGTTTGTAGTGGCTCATAATTTGGATAGAAAACATTCTTCATCCATTTGATTTTTTCTTACGTGTGATTAGGCCAGAATCTTTTTAATAGTTACAGCTCTCATCCAGGAGACTCTGCAGTGTTTTGAGGATTGATGCAGTCAGTATAATGTCATTCCCACATTGTATCTAGAGGATCTTACTCCATCTACAAAGAATCCTTATCCAACTTGGCCTCTGTGCCCAGATACCCTCCATGACTGTGGTGGACACATTTATCTAGCATACAATACTTCTATTTTATGCCTCACCTGATAGTAAATTATAAGAGGACTATTGAATGAAAGTTTTCTCTGTTAAATCTTTCCAATAAACTGGAATAATTTTGATTCATACATAGGAGATACCTTCTTTGAAAAGATCTGGAATTTCACTGGTTGGCTTTTGTTCTATCAAATTTTTAAAAAGTCAAGAAATAATAAGCATCATGAGATTTTGCATTCACAATCAGTCTGTAGGCACTTACTAAATGCCTGCTATGTGTAAAGCACTGTACTAGGTATACTGGGGTGCAAATAAAATTAATGAAACAATACTTGCTTGTAAAGTGCATATGTTCTAGCAAGGGAAACAACAAGGGCATATATATAGAATAAATATAAAGAGAATAAATATAAGATAGTTAAGAGTAGGGAGGTTTGAGATCAGGAGAGACTTCCCATGGAAGGTGGTGATTCAACTGTTGTCTTGAAGGAAGAGAGGGATTCTGTGAAGCTGAGGTGATATGAGAAGTGCATTCCAGACACTTTAGTCAATTGCATGATGATAAAAATGTGGTTGACTATGAAATATCACTTGCAGAAGCCTGCCTGTTTGCTACTAATAGCTTCATCAAGGATTCCTTAGAGATATTTATGTAATCATATTAAAAAATTTTTATATAGGTGAGAAAGTTAGGCATGTAAGTCATTAGTTGTTGATGTTCTTTGTCCAGCTCTCCTCCTCCCCTTTATGTGCACGTGGATGTGGGTATGGGTATTAATAGGGTCTGAAATATTTTTCCCAAATCCTTCCTTATATAAATGCTTTGGGAAATCCCTCAACAGTCACACAAGTATATCATCTCCAATTCCCTGTGTACATTTGTTATAATTCAGCAGCTTTCCCCACATTTATCCTCTTTAGTGACATTGCTCTCTCTTCTCTAAGTTCATTTAGATTTGTGTTAGAGTGCAGGTGTGGTGGCTCCATTTTCCTAGTGGAGAAAAATTTTTGTTTTTGTTTTTTTAAGAGACGCAGTGGGGTTAAGTGATTTGCCCAGGGTCACACAGCTAGTAAGTGTTATGTGTCTGAGGCCACATTTGAACTCAGGTCCTCCTGAATCCAGGTCCGGTGCTCTATCCACTGCGCCACCTAGCTGCCCTTTGTTTTTGTTTTTGTTTTTTTTTTAATCTTTGCAAATTGGGCACGGTGCAACACACCTAATCTTCCTATTGTGGAGGCTGAGGTTGGTGAGTTGCTTGAACTCTGGAGTTCTGAGGCTGCAGTGGGCTGAGTCAATTGGGGGTCTGCATCAAGTCCAGCACCAACTTAATGAACTCCAGGGAGCAGGATGGGTTAAGGAGTGGTGAATCTGTCCAGGTCAGAAATGGAGCCAGTCAGAGCTCCTTTGTTGATTAACTGTGGGGTCAGACCTGTGAGTGACCAGTGCATTTCTAGCCTGGGTGAGCTAAAGTGATCCAGTTCCCCAAAAAACAACAAAAATTTTACGTATCTTTTCCATTTCTGCCTTTCTTCCAATTTCATTAGTCTCCTTCCAAGCTTCTTTTAACCTGCTTCACTCTTTTTTATGATGTAGTATTTACTTATAATCTATCATTTTCCACAAAGCAAATCACATTATACTAAATGTCATAAAACAAGCTTTGTAGAGCAAAAATTTTAACTTTAGCTGATGGCCAACTTACACCGTATATATATTTACACCATAGTAAAGTATTTGGAATTCTCTATAGTAGAATTGGGCCTGACAAATCATAGTGTTGTTCAATAGTAGGTGTACTGAATTTTTGTTCTAATTGCTGTTTTGATTTGCCCATTGCTGTTTTCAAACCAATATTTCAACTTTGCTTTTGTTTACTTTAGTGCTGAACTGAGTGATTCACTAATGAATGAGGTTTGTTTTCATTTCCTAATTCAGATAGCATGGTCTTTTAAATCTCTCTTAAAGTCTTCATAAGAAGGCTGTTCTACAAAATATAAGTTATCATGTACTTCTCTATTTTCTTCTGGTAGAATCAAGACTTATCTAGATTCATTGTTCCTTTTAAGTGGTATATTAAACTTAAAATATTGAAAAATATTGAAGCTGCTCAGAGCTTGAAAACTTGTCCCTTTTAATAAATACTTGTTAATTGATTTTTTTTTCCTATTCAGATAATTTGTGTTATAGTCTTATATCAGTCATACAGATTCATCTAGCCTGGATTTATCTTGCATGTTATTAAGTATTTCCTATTTCACCCACTTTACAAGCAAAGCAGCTCATAAGAAGAGTACATAAGGTACTAACTAGGTCTGTGAAATAAAATTGTAGCAGAGATTCTTAAACTCAGTCCACAAACTTTTGGAAAAAATTGATAAATATATGTAAATATAATTGATTTTATTTATAATCCTATGTATATATTTATGCATTTAAAATCATTGAGAAAGGGATCCAAGAAACAACAACGGTTAAGAACCTGTGTTTTTATTTGTTTTATTTGTTTTTTGAATCTGGGAATAATAATTATTGCCCAATCTAAAAACAATCATTATAGCTACTATTCTTCCTTTATCATTTCCTGTTATAGACACTTTAAATTTTTTTAAATGGAAAATGATTGTTTTCCTCTTATCATTATGCTAATTTAACTTTATACTTTTGCCTAGCCCTCATGTTGAATGTAGACAGTTTCAGATTCTTATATTCATATTGAATGCTTTGGTAGGAAAAGGCTTCTTTAAATATAAGATTTATGTAAAGTTTTTTTTCTGTTAATGTTTAGTTTTAGAGACTAAGATCAGTCCCTTTACTGTGTCTAAAATATGAAAACCAACTGCTGTCTTTGCTATTCACTCTCTGTGTCAAAAGTTATTTTTAGAAAATAAAGTTAGAGAGACCAGCAAAGCAGACTTACATAAAAAGTCAGAATGAGTCAGAATTGCTTATCATTTTCTGCATGTCAGTTGGAATTTAAGTGCCTCAATTTTTGTACTCCTTAATTGGAGCTTATTTTGAGAAATGTCAGCAGAATTATTCTCTCATTCCCAGTCCAAAAAAAAAAAAAGCCAAACAAAAACAGACACTTATACCTATTAGTGATGGAAAATAAAAAGTCTGAATACCATTTTCGGATCATATTCTACCTTTTCTCACACCCAGGGCCTTTACCCTAGGGGATCTTATTTAACTTTTTATGAAGGGATTCAAAATTGCTAAACATAGGAAAGAGAGTTGTTAAATGGAAGAGCCAAATCTCCACTGAGTGAATAGTGTGGTATGGATAACTACCGTTTATTTTTAAATAAATATAGCTGTTTCCAATTAGAAACTGAACATCTTTTAGTTTTACTGCATTGCACCTTTGTCAAATGTCATATCCAGCCAATTTTGTAATTAATTCTCTACTTCTGCTTTAAGTTGCTTATGGATATACTGTCAAGAAAATTATAAAGCACCAATATAAATAGTTTTAGGTCAGCTATTTAAAAATGTCCCCTCCCCTCAGATTTTCTAAGCAGTATAGCTTCTATTGAGATTTGATTTATGTGTGAAGATTTTTGAAAAGTTCATCCTGATAATTGTGACAAAAATTGTGGGGAGGTTTTTTTAAGTACTTAATTTAAATATCAAATCGAATTTTAGAAGAAAGATGTCAGATTTATCAGAGTTACTAAGCATGTGCAGAAACCTTGATTTGCATATAATTCCATGAAATAAATTACAAAAAATTACAGAAATATACTTGTTTTGAATCAGTGGGAGTGAATCATGCTAACACATGGCAGTGTAATAGTCTGATTTTTTGTGTTTTGTTTTAAGGCGAGGACCCTTGCTTCTATGTTGAGAGAAGTTGAGCGAAAAAATGAAGAGCTTGGAGTGTTACTGAAATCACAGCAGGTTGAATCAGAACGGGTCCAGAGTGATATTGAGCATCTCTTTCAACATAATAGGAAGTTACAGACTGTGGCTGAAGAACATGAAGTGCTAAAAAAGTCCTATATGGAACTTATTCAGAGGTTTAACACAATTATTTCTGTGTAACATCAGTATCTTATATGTGAAATGTAGGCAGCCCTAATTTACAAATGGTCTGCCAGCATTTGTTTGTAAGTCAATTAATTGAAACTCAGAGTTCATTTTCCCAAAGAAACAATGTTATTAATGGTAGTTAGGTTCCTAAATCAGCCCACAAAAGCCTTTTTAATTTGTGATGTATCTGGTATGTAGCACTCTGTGGTACGTTTGGAGATATTCAAAGAAATAATGACTGATGACTTGGGATGTTTTAGAGGGAATTCATCCATTAGGTGAAGGAGTAACGTGCTATCATTCTAAAACCTAACCACTATGTATAACCTATGTTTCTATGGGAAAATTCATTCTGAAACCGAAACTGAAGTGCCAGGAACATTTTCTCCCAACTCCTGAAGTGGGATTGGGGCTACCACTACCTTACCTTCTGCTAGGCAATGGGAGCAAGTAATGTTGCCAAATGAGCCTGGGATGAAAGCGTTACTGAGACTTAGAGGGGTATCTGAAAATCATCTCCCGACTAGCCTTGCAGTAAAGTAAGAACAAGATGAGAAGATGATCCTAGAAAACGGCAACCAGAGAAGGTGGGGAATCCCAAAATATCAGTCAGGCCACTTGACTTGATCAGCTGTACCTAGTTAGGGTAATTGTTCAAGTGTTAAACATGTACATAAGTTGGAGACTACCATTGTTGCATTTGTTTTCTGAAAAGCTAATCTCACTTCACTATTAGTACACAAACCCGTGTTGACATGGCATCCATTTACGACATTCCATAAATTCTATGGCATAGAAGATAAAGGGTCACAGGGGTAATATAGAGACCAAGACCTTTAATGTGTATGTCTAGATACTTTGTTGCCCCCATCAGCCCATTAATTCTGGAAGACTTGGGTTGGACAAGATTTAGTATAGTTCATGATCATGAGTAAAAGACTATAAAAACACAGCAGTTCTTTTCCAATATACGTAAGCACTATCTTGACCCACAAACGAACCACTTTAAACTGGATGGCAAGCTCCTTTATAATCTTTAAAAGAAACCGCATTTAGCCCAACATTCACACAGATCTTTTTGTTTATCTATGTGATATTATCAAGTAGTTATGTGATGAGCTGTTTGCCTAAGGTCATTGGGAAAGCTAAGGCCAAAATACAGATCTCATTTCCAGTTAATTCTCTTGTCGCTTTCCTCCATTGCTTGCTGTTGTTATTAGTCATAATAATGATAGTTAATGTTTATATAGCACCTACTATGTGCCAGACACTGTAAGCACTTTACAGATATTTTCTCATTTGATCCTCACAACAGCCCTGGGAGGTAAGTGCTATTATTATCCTTATTTTACAGATGAGGAAAATAAGGCAAACAGGTTAAGTGACTTGTCCAGGGTCTCACAGCTAGTAATTTTCTGAGGCCGAATTTGAGCTTGTGTCTTCCTGAGTTCAAGCCTAGTACTCTCTCTGTTGTGCCACCAGTTGCCTCTTATTTTATGGTCATTATTTTTCACAGTAAAAACTTTGGACTATAGCTTTAGGAATTTAGGGAACTTCAGAGATCATCTAGCATGACACCATTTTACAGATGAGGAGGCAGACCTGGAAAGGTTAATTGACTTACCCTAGTAGTTGAGTACTTGCCCGGTACTCATTCTGCTGTGCTATTCTGCCTTCAAGTTGAGTCACTCTAAATTATTTTGGAGATTGGGGTAGAAGAGTGGATAGGGATGTTATGAGTAGGGAAAGATCTGATTTTAGATCTCATGAATTATCTTTCCTGTCTATACACATAGACTTTGAGCTCAGTAGTAGGGGTATTTTTTTAGCTTTCTTTGCTCAGGGAGATAGATTAGGTCTTCTTCAACTATGGACAATAGATTTGTTTGTTTTTGTGAGAAGTACTTATCTGAGAAATAGGTGTCAGATTTTAATTTTGAAAGAGAGTCACTAAGGAGAACAGTTAGCACCTCTTCTGAGAGGCTTCTAGATGCTTTGCTTTTTGTTTCTGAGCCACCTTCAGCCTCCAGTTCCTCCAGTCAGAAACCTCTGGTGTCCCTTTGGTGACCATAAGTTCTTCACATAGGTCCTCACTGGTTGGTTAGGGTAACCAAGCAGTCCTTCCCATACCTCTCATAATTGCCAGTGTCCCAATAACCCAGCTGTATTATAGTCTCAAGTCTCTGCAAAAACTGATTGTAATCTATGATAGTCTTAAGTTTTATCTGTCCACAGTTCCCTAACTCCCCAAACACCCACTGAAACTGTCACGTGCTTGATGATTAGCCAAGATTAGGTAGAGAATGTTTGCATTATATCTTTTTCATAATTTTAAATAATTTTTTTAAAAAACTTTTTTTGGGTTTATTTGTGTGTGGGGGGGATTCTGACCCCTAACCCCAAATTCATTGCAAGGGTTAAGTAACTTGCCTAGGGCTATATTGTCAGTATGTATCAGGGGAACTTGAACCTTGTTTTTCCTGACTTCTAGGTGGCCTCTCTGTGGCTACATGGTGTTTCTCTCTCTTTTTTTTTTTTTTTTCCACATTAGTCATGTTGTAAAGAAGAATTAGAACCAATAGAAGGAACCACAAGAAACAGGAAACAAAACAAAACAGAAGAAAAAAAAGAGCAAATAGTATGCTTCGATCTGCATTCGAACTCCATAGTTCTTTTTTTGAATGTGGATAGCATTTTACATCATGAGACTTTTGGAGATGTCTTAGATCCTTGCATTGCTGAGAAGGATTAATTTTATCAACGTTTGTCATCACACAACATGGCTGTTACTGTGTACAACGATCTCTTGGTTGTCCTCACTTCACTCAGCATCAGTCCATACAAGTTTTTCTAGGTTTTTCTGAAGTCTGCCTGCTCATCATTTGTTATAGTACAATAGTATTCCATTACATTCATATACCACAACTTGTTCAGCCATTCTCCAGTTGTTGGGCATCCCCTCAATTTCCAATTCTTTGCCACCACAAAAAGAGCTGCTGTAAATATTTTTGTACATGTGGGTCCTTTTCCCATTTGCATGATCTCTTTGGGATACAGCCATGGTATTTCTCTTAAAAGAACTTAAACTGCTAGCAATCTTAATACACACTTGTGTTGGTATTTTTAATCAGCAAGAACTGATGTTTATTTTGAAACTTGAAATGTTAGCATTATATTTTAAATCATACTTACCTATGGAAATTATAACTGGCAGGATTTATGTACTCTGTGAATAACAAGGAAATTTAGAGCAGAATAGGGAAGAAGTGTGTGGTGACAATGTGCTATTTCTGGAAAGGTATTTTTCTCCTTCCCTATAACATCACCTTTATCCAAAAGATGAGCATTAAGCATGTCTTCCATTTTTAGTCAAGGAGGTTCAAAAATTTATCTCTAGAAACTATCAGTGTTTCCTCCTGGATATTGAGGGTGAAAAAAGATAGTAGCTGAAGTGAAAAAGTCTATAGAAGATAAATTAATATCTTGCATTAACTCATGGAAGACAAAGCTTTAGGTAGTTTTATGTAGCTGAAGATAAATTATCTTCTGTTGGCTGCCTTGCAAACAAAAAAAATAAATAGAAAAATTAGAGTAAGGGCCAAATAATTTTTTAATCCTATGCTTTACTGGTAACTAAAGGCAGTAATAGTAATCACCATTTGCAGTATTATTTTGTAATAATTTTAATTTTTTTTAAAGCCTCATCTGGCAGGGAAAACAGAATCAACTTACAGATTTTTGACATTGAAATTTTTTTTTCTCCCTTAAAAATTTACATATGTCCCTGGGGGAAATTAGTTTCTAAAATGAGTAGGTTTATACCTACCATGTTTCACAACATACTCTGTTCTGGACAGTTTTATAAAAGGATCCAAAGTTTATCCATTTTACTGTCATTTAAAATTGAAGCTCTGTGTGGCACACGTTCAATCAAAGCTTTCCTACTTGTCTGTGTGTACTTTGGCTAGAAAACTATAAGTAGGGGGAATGCTATGCTTTATGATCTCTTTGATTTCAGCCCATCTTTTCTCTTTTCAGGAGTGAAGCTTTTGAAAGGAAGAGTAAAGATTTACAAGTCACATGTGATTCTCTAAACAAACAAATTGAGACAGTGAAAAAATTGAATGAATCACTCAAGCAACAAAATGACAAGTAAATTTAGTAGTTTTTTTTAAAATTCTTAATTATTTTCTTTAAAAAATTATTTACTTTTTAAAAAAGTGATGTGATTTTTGTTTATTGCAATTATTTATTTTTGATCATCAAAAGTGGTAGATAAACTGCTGCTGGCTACTTGTTGACTCACTGTATACAGTTATGATTTCAGGTAAACGTTCTTTCTTTAGGACTTTACCTTAAATAGATCGCTGAAAAGAAGTAACTTAAATAGGAAACCATTGACTGTTTGAGAATTTTTTGTAATACTTTTTTTTTTAAATTTCAGAACAGTTGCTCAATTAATGGAAACAGAAGAGCAAAGAAAAGAAATACAGAATCAGCTAGTGGAGAGAGAATGTGTAATAGCAAGTAAGTAAATTTTTATTGTATAAACGTATTGAAATTCAGAAAGAATTCATAAGTTAATACAAATGTTTCCCTAGTCCGTTGTCAAGTTGAAAAATTTAGCTATTACCTGTACTGGGTTCCCCCCCCCCAACTAAAGTCAAGAATTATTTTATTCTACTTTTCTCTTAGTTTCCAGTTTTGTCATTGACTTTCCATTAACCTTAAATAACATCCCTCATGGTTTCTTCAGTGTGTCTTTGTGTCAGTATGACAGGATATTAGCAGTTGATTGAGATCTGCCAGTGCAAATGGCATTCTTCGAATGGAGGAAAAAAATCTAGTACTCTGCATAGACATTCTCATGCTTATATACATATATATAAGATGTCTTCAACAAACTTGAAATAAGAAAGGTAGATACATATACATAAACACATATATTAATATTCAAATACAGTTATATCTATAAGCATTGTTGTTGAAAGGAGATTCAAACTGGTAATTGAAGTTCTCCCTAGCATTCAGAGACGAAGATAAAATTCCAGAGTCAAGATTAAGCAAGAGTGCAGAGTACAGATAACAACCTTTGGTTTATCAGACAGAACAACAGTGACTTAAAGTATCTAGGTCTCCTTAAGAATCATTTTTTTTAAGTCATTAAATCTGATCTAGGGTAGTGAAAAGAGGACTAATTTTAAGGATGAGTGAAAGAGATTTCTGCCTGTATCTAATCAGTACCCTCATTCTGTCTTTTGGAATATGAAACTTCTTTCCTGAACTGGTGTTTAAGCTGGAGCTCGAAATGTACACATTGACTTAGTTTCCCTTTAGAAAATAGGGCTTTTAAAAGGGTATTTGAAAAAGATTTTAAGCTAGGACAGTGTCTGATATGTGATAAAGTACTGATAAGATTTATTTCAATCAGATGAGTTAAAATCACAGTAGGACAGTGAGAAAATGTGATTGCTTTATGAGTCTAAAAAAGGAAGTGGGGTTGTGAAGTGGGCTTAGTATGCTTTCACAAGAGTTATGGGGGAAAATTCTTACATTGTAATGTTTAGCAGAAAGTAACAGCAGGTGGCAGTACTAGGTAACTTTTAGTTACAACTGCATAATAGTTTGTGTAAATCTACCACAGAAAGAGCAGTCAGTAAACACAGAGCAACATAGGATCTAGAACTGGAAAGGGACTTTAAAAAGTCATCTGTTCACATCTCCCCACCTAACAGGTTAAGTGACCTGCCCAAGCTGGTACAGGTAATAAGTAGCAGTGCAGATTCAGACGTGAGTTGTCTGTCGATCTGCTCGCACATTGCTTACCCAGTTTCCTTACTCTTGAAATGTCACTACCCATCTCAGACTCCTTTCTGAAATTATCTTTCCTTCTCTCTCCCATAATTCCCCTCACCCCCAGCTTCCTACATCAAAGCTTTCTAGTAATTGTCCTTATGCTATATCTTGACTATACTTTGTGTGAAGGGAGGATGTGGCATTAACAGTGAAGTTTGGATATGGGAGACTGGGAGGACTGGATGGGGTTGAAGTGGCTACTCTAACCTCAAGGAGAAAGTCCAGAACCAAGCTAGTCCCTGCAATCAAAAGTCAAGAGACTAGAACTTAGGCCGTACATTGCATACAGCATGTCCATTGGTTAATCATGGAAGTTGAGTCTCAGCTCTGTATTGCAACAATTACTAGAGTAGGTTGACTTATTGTAGATAAGTAAAGCTGTTTTCTTAAATTGCAGCCTTAATAGTTGAAGGGTCCTCACTTCATGACTAGGAATGATGAATAGACTAGTTTCTTCTGCTTTCAGACTCCATAAACCAGCTCTAAACTTTTCTCCACAGGATCACAGTTGATCATCCTGATTCTGTAGTGCTAACCTTCTTAAGCCAGGCTAATCCTTCTAGCTTTCTCTTCTTAAATATGTATAGCAGGTAGACATATGCTTTCGTGTTTGATAAGCCCATAATCACTTTTAATCTCCATCATGATGATATCAGTGTTGAGATACCTGGACATAAAACAAATTCATTTTTTCTCCAAATTTTTCTAAAGACTTACAACAAAAAACAAAGGCACACGAGGACAAACTGAGAGCTCTGCAAAAAGAAAGAGAAGATAGGGAAGAAACTATTGAAATTCTGAAAAAAGAATTAAATAGAACGGAGCAAGCAAGAAAAGAATTAAGCATTAAGGTAAGAATTTATTGGAGATCTCACTTGCAGTCATTGGAGAAAACTTAGTGTGAAGTAAGGGAACTTCCCTGAGCCATTCTCATATTTCTTTAGTAGTTTGATTCTAGAAAGTGATAAAATCTTGAAATAGTTGAAATTTACAAAGAAAATTATTTCATACAAGGGAAGCCTTTATAATATTATTAAACAAACACCTTTAATTTTTTAGTAAAGCATGATATTTATAATTATTTTATGTTGTACCATTTGCTTGACAAAGCTGGCTCTCTGAATCACCAAGTTGGAGGAAATAATATGAGGGAAGAATATTCAAGAAGGGCTGAGAGGCAGTTGACCACTTAGGAAAGCCCAGCTGTTATTTTGGCTCCATCTGTCACTGCCACTCCTTGATGAGTAAGGGACACATTGATGTGTGTACCTTGGGAGAGAGCACATAGTGAAGTGGTGAAAAGTAAATTCAGATGCAAGTGACTTCAGCTCATGAAATTGTGTTATATGGTTCTCTGACTCTAATTGTGTGTGTGTGTGTGTGTGTGTGTGTGTGTGTGTGTTAAAAAAAAATAAGTTGTTATAATGACTCAAAATCTGTGACTTGCTGCCTCCTTATATTGCCACTTATGTAAAAAAGAGGAGGTGATACCTGCAGCTTGAAGCTCTCTAACATCGCTGTCCCACTAGAGTGTAGCTTTCTGGCCTGCCCATTGCCCCAGACCTAGCCAGGCCAGGGTCCTGTTTGAGCTACTACTGCTGTATGAATACAGCAGAGGAGCAAAGGTACAAAATTCAAGATAGTATTTGTAGTCACAGCGTTTTTTTGGTAATGCTTCAGTTCTACTGTATTCAATACACATAATGTGTAATCATTTACACTTTTCAACAAAATTTTATTTGTTTAGCATTGCCAATGTATGACAGGTTTGCGTTTTCTTGCCAGTACAGTAAAAAGGTTGATCATACATTAAAATTGATATTATACCATCCAAATACATAACCAGCATTTAATTAGCACATCAAGGTTTGCAAAACACTTTACAAGTATTATCTCATTCGATCCTTACAACAATCCTGGGAGGTAAATGTAATTATTGTCTGCATTTTGCAGATGAGGAAACTGAAGCAGGCTAATTTAAATGACTTGCCCAGGGTCACACAGCTAGTAAGTTTCTGAGGCTGGATTTGAACTCAGGTCTTCCTCACTCCGGGCATGGTGCTTTATATCTACATTACGATCTAGTTTTCCTTCTGTTATGAAGCCTGTCATTCTTCCGTGTTCAAGCAGGCATGGCCACTCTAACATATCCATTGGGAAAAAGCATGCTAAGCTGTATTTCTGTTCATCTCATAGGCTTCCTCCCTGGAGGTTCAAAAGGCACAACTGGAAAGTCGTTTGGAAGAGAGAGAAACTCTGGTAAAACAGCAGCAAGAGGAGCTGAACAAGCACTCTCACATGATAGCGATGATCCACAGCTTGAGTGGTGGAAAATTGAGTCCAGAGACAGTGAACCTCAGCCTCTAGCGCTCTGGCCGGAGGCTTGTGGTCTCATGGGGGGGTGTGTGTGTGAGTGTGTGTGTGTGTGTGTGTGTGTCTGTGTGTCTGTGTATGTAGGTATTTATCTCTTGCTCCCCCCCCCCAAAAGGTCAGTAATGACTTTAAAATGACAAGGAAAATTATTAACTATTTTCAGTCTAGTAAAGAACCTGATATAATCCATGTGTATAATGTTTGACCTTTTGAGTGGAACAAATTAAAACACTTTTCTGATGATTTTATTTTGACCAAACTGAGAGGCATCATGGCATAGTGGATAGAGGACTGGCCTTGGAGTTAGGAAGACCTGAGTTTAGGTCCTGCTTTTGACACATATTTGCTGTGTAACCTTGGGCAAGTTACCTAACCTCTCAGTGCCTTCCTATAGAAGTCATAGAATATGAATTATAAACAATCTACAACAGCTTTCCACTGATGAAATTACAGGTCTGGAGCAAAAAAAGAAAAAAAAGGTTGACTATGGATGCGGAAATTGCTGTTTTGACTGTATACTTATATTTTCTTCCCTTTCTACATTTTTTAATGCGTTGCTCTAAATATAATTTAAACGCATATTTTTATCTCTAGTCAAGGCATATAAATTTAAAATATCTTAGAATTTTCACCAAATCAAATGCATTTGAACAATTCATAAATTATACCATGTTAGCCTAGTAATGGCTATTTTAAGATATAAGGAATATATACATATATGTATTTATGTGCACACATATATACAGTTTTTAAACTTATATGGCATTGATGTCTACAGTAAGGTGCTTTGAAAAATATTCTATATATGTATGCTGTGTTGTTCTTGGTGAACATATTTAGAGAAAGTTTGCATTTTAAATGTATGTATTTTGTTTATTACACAAAAACCAAATAGAATTACTCTTGACCAGAGTTTTGCCCAAGGCCTAGGGAGAAAAAAAGCCCAAGGCATTAAGAAGAATCAATCATTGAGCTTCAGCAGAATTTAAAGGATTAACTAGCTCATATTCTGTACCACTCTGGGTTTAACTCTTATACTATCATACTTTTAACTCTAACTTCCATGACTATTTCCCCCAAGTTTTTCTCATTTCAGAAAGGGATATATCTAAACCACATGAGATGGTAGTTTCCTTTTTCTGTAGATTTCAGGGACAGAGATGCCACATCCTTTTTTGGTAGGCCATGGGTCTTCTGTGTGCCACAATTTCAGCTCATTTCTCCCTGTTGTCTTTTCATTAGGTGAAGGTAAGCTTTTGATGTGTATAATATTAATCACTCCTTATCTTCCCCTACCCACTTCTTTCTGATTTTTCTATCCTTTGTTAGGATCCTCTCTTCTGTTTTCAAAGAGACCAAAAAAAAAAAATCCAAATGTATGTTGGTTTTGTGTTATGATTTTCAGTTACTTCTACACTTGAAGGCAGCATCAACCAAGTCAAACATTGGTTTTAACCAAAAACGGTTTTGTTTTGCATGCATCCTATAGCTCAGACTTCAGTTTTATATTTTCTTATCAGTAATATTTTTAATATTTTTGAATAGTTAAATATAATATTTTTCTAAATTTTCCTCTTGTATCCCTTTACTGATAACTACGAATTCTTCCATGTTTTCAGTGGTTACTTGATGAAAACATTTGCAAAAAATATTGGTAGATTGGCATGGCCCAAATGGTTTGAAAAAATGTTTCCTGCCCAAAAAAACCATCAAAACCCCTCAGTAATGATTTCTTTGTCAGTATTTGAACTAATAACAACACAGCTCCTATTACCTTCTTAATAATGTTATCAGTGTTAAAACAACTTTATTTTTGTCTTTAAAAGATGAGATTTTTTTTCCAATATGACATTTCTCTCTTTGGCACTTCTGACACCTACTCCATTGGTATATTTATATTAGAGGTTAAGAAGCACTCATCAGAAACATCATAGGGAAAAATAATGATTCAGTTTATGCCTTATGATTCTATTTGCATGGCTGTTGTGAGGACTTATTGTATTTTTAGAAGCCCTAGTAAATGAAAAATGTCCTCTGATTTTCCCTAGGCTTGCTTTAGATCCCAGATACTAACCCTTGACTTAGTTGCCAGTATTTCTAATCAAGGTTAATGCCTTGTTTTAAGTATTACCCTTTAAAATAAATGTGTAACTATAATCATAATTAATTACTTTGTTCCTGTTGTAGATAGTATGTGGTATTTAAGTTTTGGGTTTTTTTTTTTTTTAGAAGAACAGACTCAAATCACATACAACCTTATTAGCACTTTTGTTGAATTCTTTCTTACCCCAGAGATATGAAAATTTAAACTAATCCTTAATTTGAGGTGATTATATTTAGGGCAGTATATTTTGAAGTCAGTAGGTATAGACCTTTTAGTTGCATTTTGATGTCTTGGAACTTCCACTCCTGATCTGAAATGGGGACACAGCAGACATAAATAAAGCATGTCTCTGATCACAGTTTATTTCAAGGAAGCCTTCTCATTTCCTTGTGGTAGCCCTGAGGTTCCATGAAATAAGGTGAAAAGCAATGGCTTAGTTGGCAAACATGGCAGGAAAAGTTTCTTAGCCTATTCATTGACCTGATTGTAATGATAAGGCTGAATTGCTAGAAAAATCATTTTGCTGCTTTAAGCAGGCATCTAGCCTGTACGTATCTTCATGTTCTTTATCCCTACTCATTCTGTAGTTGGAATTCCAGGATATAAAAAGCATTGTAGTAAAGTTATATGATATCAGAATTTAAAAACCACTGAAGTGGATCATAGTCTTTCTCTATTCTTGGTAGTTAGAGAAGTGTAGTAATTGGTTTTTATAGTTATCAAGATACCGAGGAGTTGATACCAGGGAATCGCAGGTTTCTCACTTTTGGAAGTTTCTTTCAAAAAGTCGGTTGGGATGCAATTCGGTGACAACAAGCCTCCATTATATCTTTCAGATGCATGTTTATTTTCATGGGCTATATGCAATTCTAAACATCAAATTCACTGCATATAAGCTGAAATTTGCTCCCATTGGGGATGGCTTTTTGGTACTTAAATCAATAGACTTAATCATATCACTTCAAAATAATTTTATTATGTTTTGGCAATATTTGTATGTCTCCATTAAATCTGTGATTGAAATTGTGTTTTCATCAGGCATTTTGTAGTAGTGGTGTTTATAAAACTGCTGACTTGAAGGTAGATGTTAAGTTTATAGATAATATGCCAGATAAATGGTACTGAGATGTTGAAGAGAAAATTAAATGTTTTATAGAAAGAGAACATTTCAGAAGTTCACATCAAGTTTAATGTTCTCTTTTCAGGAAAAGTTTCACAGAGCAGATTGGCTTGATCTAGCTATCTCAATCACTGACTAGAATTTTTCCCTTTCTAAATACTTTTTACCCAACCGAATAACATTTAATTTATTCTCCATTATTCCCTGGCCTCTTCCTGAAATGTTGTATCCTAAGAAGAGAAGAAGAGCATGATAAAGTTTCATCACCTCACTACTGAAATCCTTAAGGCTTTGTATGAATTTGAAATAGCTAAAATATAACTTAGAAAGTTAGAGGGTTTTTTTTGTTTCCCTGAGGTCACTGACTTTTAGCATAGTGCCCAACATTCCAATGCACATACGAGGATGTTTCCATCTCTGTGATTTATCCATGCATAGTAGATAAGTCTGCAGATCCACATAACTATTAACTTGTAGGTAAAAATTTTAGTTAAGACTAGAAAATTTAAAAAAAAATTAAAACCAAACCTGTAGCCAAAAGTAGAATTAAGAACGTTAGTTCACTCTCTTGGGATGCGTACTGGCTAAATGATTGGTAACAGTGGTCCTTTAACACTGATTAAAGGGAAAAATTTGGGACTGGTATTTCCCTCCTTTCTCACCATACCTATATGGAAAACTTCTTTACTGACACTGTAAAATAATAGCCTTTTTCAATAAACAGGATCCTCTTTAAATGTTTCATGAGTTCAAATAAATTATTTTTATGCTTGTAATGATATTTAATAAACTATATTTCAGTATATTTAAATATAGCTACAAGATGATTTTTTTAGAATTGCAGACCTTTAATCATTGTTTCTATATAATTGTATTTCTTAAAGTTATGTAAATTCTTACTCTTGTTAGAATTGGTGATTGGGGAAGCAATAACTCTTCATGCAAGAATTTTAATTTATTTTTAAAAGACAAACTTTGGGCTATGTTATCAGCATTATAAGGATGGGTCAGAAAAAAACAGGGAGTAATTTGCCTAGTGTAGTTTTTAAAGTAAGTGCCTATTTGGGAATTAAAACCAGTTAGGACTCTTCTTTCTCTTAATTATTGGTACCCCATCTTGAAGTAACTTGATGGATTAAGGTAGCTAACCTGATATCAAGTTTAACTTAATGTAATATCAGATATTTTATTCACTATTTTACATCCAAATGCAATTATAAAAGTAAAATACTTTGTACCGATTGGCAAAAGAAACAGCCCTCTCATTTTAAACATTAATTAGGCTCAAAGTTGAAGAGTGCAGGAATTTTCAATACTTAATGGTGTCCCAAAGTATCTTCAATAACTGTTGACATCTAATTCAATTTGACCCCTCAACAAAGCTGCTATTTTATGTCAAGACTCCTGCCTGCACATTAAAATTTAATGAGTACTATTTCTTGAGGTTTTTTAAAAAAAAATCTATTTGTACTTCATGTACATTTCCTCAAAAAGATTAAGGACAAATGACATTTTTGGCCAGAAGAGAGCATTAGTTCTTAAACTTGGAAAATAGAATCTGTAATGAAAGGTCTTTGCCCCCAATATAGTTTAAGGTATGCTTTAAAAAACAGGTTATGTAGAAACAGCGTTCAAATAGAAAAGACAGAGATATGGAGCAATATTCAATCCAATCACTGTACCTAGCAAAATCAAAGGTGCCTAGCAAATAGCATTCTTTTCAAACTCTATGCAAAAGATTGTGAAGGATGCTTATATGTAATTCTTAAGAAACTCAACTGATTAAGCTTGAAAGAAAATGCTACAGATCTATAGCTATGTAATAAATTTTTTCTTATAATAAAATATCTCTATCCGTATCCTTCCATGTTGATCAGCAAACTTCCATGTTGAGAACATAACCATTCTTCTTGCAGCTCTCCTTCAGAAGCCTGTTCAGTCATTCCAGTCAGATGGTTGAGCTATCCTCTACTTTTGATTATCCTTTCCAACTCTCCCTTTTGTTAGCTCAAATAATTCAGTTAATGTCCTCCATATATAATATTTTAAAGAATTATAGAGGCAGCTAGGTGGTGCAGTGCATAGAGCACTGGCCCTGGATTCAGGAGGACCTGAGTTCAAATCTGGCCTCAGACAAATAACACTTAACTAGCTGTATGACCCTGGGCAAGTCACTTAACCCCAATCGCCTAACCAAAAAAAAAAAAAAAGAATTATACAAAATATAGTCTTAAGAATTGGAAAGTCATCTACTGCAATTTCCTATTCAGTACAAGGATATTTTCAACATCTGTGACAGATGGTCATCTAGCTCAAACACTTCCCTTGATGAGAGAGAGAATTTTGAATGTAGTCCATTCCATTGTTGAAAAGGTCTAATTATTGGACCATTCTTCTGTGTATTGAATCTATTTCCCTCTAATTTCTATGTATTTGTTCCTAGTTCTACTCTCTAATATAGCATAATAAGACTTTTTTTATTTCCCTTGACTGCCCATTAAATAATTGAAAACAGTTATCAGGCAGTTTCTACTAGTCTCTGTCTTTTCTGGCTCTTCAACTAGATTTTGTTGTTGTTTTATTGTTCAGTCATGGCTGGTTCTTCATGACCCCATTTTGGGTTTTTTTTGTGGCAAAGAGGCTGGAGTGGTTTGCTATTTCCTTCTCCAGCTCATTTTACAGATGAGGAAACTGAGGCAAACAGGATTAAGTGACTTGCCAAGGGTCATGCAGCTGTACGTGTCTGAGGTTGTTTTTGAACTTGTCCTCCTGACTCTAGGGCCAGCACTCTCCACTGTACCACCTAGCTGCCCAATTACATTAGGCATCTTTCTACTGCTTTCTGTCTTCTTTGCTGTATCTGCCCCTACCTATCCTTCCAATCTTCTTATACTTTACTGCCCTCCATAAATGTATTCTTTGAGTTATCCAGTTTTTCAAAGGACTTAAATTTGTGCATTTCTGAGGGATTTTCAACCTACCAAAAACGGTATGTAATCTTAGAGATACATAACACAAGGACTTTTGTGCAAGGGCCAGTGTTGCGTAAAAGAGTGACATTTTCAAAGTATTGTGAGTTTACAAAGTAATTTATGGTGTAGCATCTCATTATGTTATTAAAAACATTTTCTAGTAAGTAGCTGAACTCTTGGCTAGATTTAGCAGAGAATGTGGATTCCTTCCATCATGCTATCTAAGTTGCTGTTCCAAGAGTTGTACTTCAACTGTCATTTCCGGAATAGCCAAGAAGTCCAGTAGTCTTTGAAGAAAGCATAAGGCTACTCTATTTTTAAAATACAGAGGATCATGGTAAGCCCAGGAAGAAGAAAACACTTGATTTTCAATTAAGCTAGATTTTGAATTACATGGCAGGGGCTGCCTCCTACTTGCTTATTTATATAAAGTTCATGATTATAGAATAATAGAACATTGAACTGTGAGGGAACCTTAGAGATCAATAGTTTAACCTTTCTTTTTACAGGTGTAGCTTCTTTAAAAAAATTCAAAATTAGAAATTGGTTTGCTGGCAGATTTGCCTATATATTCTTTTCCATGAATGAGTGAGATGTTACTATTTAATAATTCCTTTATATTATATTTTAAATTATTTTGAAATTCTATATAAAGTACCCTAGAAGATTTGGAATTGAGAGTTGTTTCTGTTACTTTCATCACTATAATGGCTTTTTATCATTTCCTCATCCAATTCCTTTGTTCTTGTTTCCTCTTTTACTCTGACAAATGAAACCAACACTATTGTGGTGGAACAGAAAGTAAATGTTAAGGCAATACTCTCACAGGCAAGGAATTTATGCAGGCTTTCTGCAGTGAGAAAATTTGCATGAAGGATATTAATAGGAGTTGAATTTTTTTTTTAATTTGCTAAACATTTAAATCCTAAATAAGCTCCTCCCTCCAAGGTGTAGAAAACAAAATTTTTAGTGGACAAAGCTATTCTGAATTTGCTCTGTTACTCAATACTATTCCATTAAGCTAAAGTTGTTAGTATACTGTTAAATTTATGTTTATCTTTTCCAAAGAAGCATTTCTAATCTGCCCTGTCTTATGTATCAGACTTTCTAATTCCTGACTTGTCTTCACACTCACTGAGAAGTACTCCATCATTCCTTTAGCTGTTCTGGAGAGATTATGGGGGAAAGGAATAGCAGAGGAAAGTGATCGTTTTTAATAATGAAGCAACTCATATATAGAATTAGGGTCTAATTTGGAGAACGGACCCATATTTCTGGCACTTCATTAAACTTAGGGACAAACAGCTTTGAGCAAACATTGTTAGGGGCTTGCTTATTAACACAGTGTGTTTATTCAAAAATTGCTTCATTGAATTTAAATTTGATCTAAATAACTCTTGAGAGTCCCAGTGTTTGATATAAATACTTCTGTTTAGACATGTCATTATCCTCTTTTTAAAAGCCCAAGAATTTTGGTGTCATTTATCCCAAAGGAAAGATTATGCATTGTGTTTATAGAGATAATGGAAACGCAAGGAAACTTTATTTGTAATACTAAGGAGGTTTAACAAAAACATTACCAAGTTTATATAGGCTCGAGCAGAGAGATAAGTAGGTAATAGATGTCTCTGTCTGGCTGGAGAAAACACTTTCAGGGAACAAATAGGCAAGGTCAGTGTGTTCCATTTATTCAGAGTGGCAGGGCTATGAACCTATTTCATACAAATAGTTACTCTGATGATTAGAATAATTGAAGTCACAACTTGAATTGTCTCTTTTCTTCCGCAACTAATCTGAATAAGAGAATGTAGATATTAGTATTATAAGTCAAGCATTATTGGCATTATAAACCCAGGCAGAGCCATAACCATGTCGGAATTTGGGACATTGACTTGCCTGAGGGACCGGAGCCAAGGGTGCAAATCTGTGCCTCTCCCTCAGCAGCCAATGAGCTGAACAGAGCAGAAGAAATGACTGCATTCCCACACTGGGAGCTCCTCTGTTTTGGGTCAGGGCAGTTGGAGGAGAAGGACTTCTGGCTTCCTTTGTGTCTTTTGTCACAGGCAGAATTGTCAAATGAACATGAAGTCAGTCTGTAGAATCCTGGATTTTTAGAACAAGAAAGAACCTTAGAGATCATCTCACCCCAGTATTTTGTAGTCAAGAAAACTGGGGCCCAGAGAAGTCAAGTGACTTGCCCAAAGTTATATATAATAATAAGTAGTAACAATGCTCACCCTAGTTTGCTTTTACATATTGCTTTCAGGTTTGCAAAGCACTTTACATATACCTGCAGTAGGTTCTTCTGAGAGTGTTCTGTGAACCTCAGGCATATAACACCATTTGAAAAATACTTTTGGTTTAAAATGTCTTTTGTGGCAGTTATTTGGGTTTATTGAAAGCATAGTTTCTCAAAAGCAGTCCTCTAGGTTCTCCTTTTGCTTCTGGATTGGGTTACTTCTGGATTCAGCTTACTGTTGATATGCAGCACCCAGTAAATATGTGCTGATGGACTGTGGGCTGCCCACCTAACCTCATGTCATATTTGGGCAAGATGCATTTTTCATCCTTTTCCAATGTGGATGGCTACACCAAACCCTTTAGGGAACCTTGGATATCATTGAGGGGCTTAGCATAGTGAATGAGATGCCAACTGCAAGCAGGAGCATATGGAGAATTTTATGATTAATAGGCACTTCCTTTTCTATTTCAACTTTGCCCAGGACATCCTCCACTGGTGAACATTCACACCGGTGAACAGCTTTGACCATTT